TGCAGACTCTCCACATGGACGTGTGGGGCCCAGCCCGCGTCACTGGACAGGGCCGCGAGCGCTACTTTCTGCTGGTCGTTGACGACTACATGCGGTACACCACGGTCTTCCTCTTGCTTAGCAAGGGTCAGGTCATTGATGTCTTGATCCCTTGGATCCGCACAGTCCGTCTCCAGCTCCGCGAGCGGTTCGGCCAGAACCTTCCTGTCTTGCGTCTGCACTCTGACAGAGGTGGTGAGTTCTCCTCCAACCTCTTGCGGGACTTTTGTCGTGGGAGGGCATTCTCCAGTCGTTCACGCTTCCGGACTCCCCTCAGCAAAATGGGATTGCTGAGTGCCGTATTGGCTTAGTCATGGAGGTGGCTCGTACCTCCATGATCCATGCGGCTGCTCCCCATTTTCTGTGGCCGTTTGTGGTCCGGTACGCTGCGCATCAGCTCAACCTCTGGCCCCGTGTGTCCTTACCGGAGACCTCGCCCACACTGCGTTGGACGGGGGAGGTTGGCGATGCATCGGTGTTCCAGGTCTGGGGATCTCGTGCCTTTGTTCGCGATACGTCCGCGGACAAGCTCTCCGCTCGTGCTATCCCTGACGCGCGTGGCTAGCAGTTTTACCACCCCACCTCGCGCCGTGTCCTCCCTTCTCAAGACGTCACGTTTGACGAGTCGGTACCCTTTTACTATCTCTTCCCCTACCGCTCTGCCCCTCCCCCGCCCCCGCCGCTCTTCCTTGCTCCCGGCCCCCCTCCGGTAGACCCCCTCCCGGCCCAGGGTCTTGCTCCCTCAGGTGTGTCTCAAGAAGACCCTCTCCATGGTACTACGCCTGTCAAGGTAGCTGTCGGCTCAGGTGCTGCTCGAGGTGCTGCGTTTGGGGGTGCTGCGTCTGGGGGTGCGGAGCCGGGGGGTGCGGAGTCTGAGGGTGCTGGGTCTGGGGGTGCTGAGCCTTGGGGTGAGGAGCCTGGGCGTGCTGAGCCTGAGGGTGCTGAGCCTGAGGGTGTTGAGCATGGGGGTGCTGAGTCGGAGGGTGCAGAGTTTGGGGGTGCTGAGCCTTGGTGTGCTTCTTCGTCTGGAGGTCCTGCTGGTGCTTCGCCGCGACTGTCTCCGCAGCAGCTGCGTGCGTGGCTTGTTCGGCGCGCACGCCTTCGGAGTGGAGCTACCAAAGTTGGAGGCACTGGAGACGTTGGAGCTGGAGGTGCTGGAGTTAGTGCTGGAGCTGGTGGTACTGGCGGTACTGCGGCTGGTGATCCAGGAGGTGCTCTTACCAGGGGTGCTAGAGCTGCCGGGACTGGTGGTGTTGGTGGCGCTGGAGCTGGAGGAGCTGGAGTTGGAGGCACTGGCGCGCGAGGCGCTGGAGCTGCATGAGCTGGAGCTGTTGACCCTGGAGGTGGAGGTGCTGGAGGCACTGTGCGGCCGCGACCGTACTTCGTTCCCCTGCTTCAGCAGGTTCTTCGTGTCCCGTCTTCTACTAGCCTTACTCCTCCCCTCTTGTGTCCACCGCCTGACTAGTCGCAGCCGCCGTTATTGTCAGCCTCCCCACTGCCTGCTCCTTCTCTTTACACCGAGCAGTCCTGCGGTCTTACAGAGCGTCGTGAGCTTGCGTCTCGTCCTGTCTCGTCTGTTCGCACTGCTCGTCGCGTTCCTCGTTCGCATCCTCCTCCTGCCCCTGGCACGCACGCTATGGCACTCTGTCCTTCCTCTGTTCCACTGCGTGTTCCTCTGCCAGCTCCTCCTGAGTCCTCTCTTCTTGAGGTCCCTGACCCTGAGTCTGACCGTGCTTGTGCTGCCAGTCCCACTGTCTCTCATCTCCTCGCCACTGCTGTCACTGACCCTTCTTTTGAGTCTACTATTGCGTCTGCTCTCGTTGCTGAGCTGCTTGACTTTGCTGCCGCCTGCCGTTTAGACTACGCCACTGCTGTTGTTGTTGAGTCATCGTCTGCCAGTCCTCCGTCCGTCGAGGGTGAGTGTGCTCTTGGCACGGACGTCCTTGAGGACAAGCAGGAGGACTTTGAGTGTCTTGCAGCTGATGTACCTCGTTTGGCTTCCATGCTGCTTGCCCCTGAGGGAGACCCGGATGCACAAGACATCCCGACCCCGCGCTCTTACGCAGAGGCAATTACGGGTCCCTACTCCTCCTAGTGGCAAGCAGCCATGGATGCCAAGATGGCATCCTAGAAGTCCACAGGCACCTACGTCGACGAGGTTCCCCCACCTGGGGCAAACATAGTCGATGGCATGTGCATTTTCAGGGTGAAGCGGCCATCGGGTTCTCCACCTGCCTTCAAGGCGCATTACGTTGCTCGAGGCTTCAATCAGCGATAGGGGGTTGACTACTTCCAGACCTTCTCCCCCACCCTGAAGATGACTACTCTTCAGGTGTTGCTGCACGTCAGTGCTCAACGTGACTACGAGTTGCACTCTCTGGACTTCAGCACAGCTTTCCTGCAGGGCAGCCTACACGAGGAGATCTGGCTGCGCCGCCCACCTGGCTTCACTGGGTCGTTTCCTGCAGGTACCAAGTGGAGCCTCCGAAGGCCAGTCTACGGTCTCCGCCAGGCGCCTCGTGAGTGGCACGACACACTGAGGACTACACTTACGGCTCTTGGGCTTGCTCCTTCTACAACTGACCCGTCGCTGTTTCTACGCACAGACACCTCGCTGCCGCCGTTCTACATCCTTGTGTACGTCGATGACCTCGTCTTTGCCACTGCTGACACTGAGGCACTGACCCTTGTGAAGTTGGAGCTACAGAAGAGACAAACCTGCACTGACCTGGGTGAACTGCGCAGCTATCTTGGCTTGCCGATCACCCGGGACAGAGCACGGCGCACCATCACCCTGACTCAGTTACACATGGTGCACCAGGTCCTTCAGCGCTTCGACTTCCAGTTCTCCTCGCCACAGCCCACTCCTCTGTCTACCAGCCACTCGCTCTCAGCTCCACCTTTGGACGAGTCCGTAGAGCTGAGTGGTCCGTACCCAGAGCTTGTGGGTTGCCTCATGTACCTTATGACGTGCACACGACCTGACCTCGCGTAACCTCTTAGCCTCCTGGCTCGCTACGTGGCTCCCGGTAGGCACCGAAAGGTGCACTGGGATGCTGCAAAGAGGGTACTGCGTTACTTGTGCAGTACCTCGGGCATGGGGCTCTTGCTTGGAGGACGGGGTCCAGTTGTCCTCACCGGACACGCAGACGCTTCCTGGGTTGACGACTCAGCTACGCAGCGGTCGTCACAGGGTTACACCTTCAGCCTTGGCTCTGGCTCTGTTTCCTGGCGGTCTAGCCGCTCGTCTTCGGTTCTCAGCTCCAGTTGTGAGGCTGAGATCTACGCCGGGGCCATGGCTTAGGAGCTACGCTAGCTCACCTACCTGCTGACTGACTTGGGAGAGCAACCTCGTTCGCCTCCAGTTCTGTACGTAGACAACAAGGCCATGATTGCCTTGTGTCAGCAGCAGAGACTGGAGCACAGAACGAAGCACATCGCTCTGCGATACTTCCTTGCTCGAGAGTTGTAGCAGCGTGGCCAGCTTTGTCTTGCATACGTGGCCACTAGGGCCAACACTGCTGATGTTTTCACCAAGGCACTTCCGCCTGGTGATCATCAGCGCTTCGCTAATGTGTTAGGTCTTGTGCCTAATTTGCCTCACTTGCTTACTGCTTGACTCTGCTTGTACTGTGATCTATGTATATATATGTGCATGCTTGCACTTGCTAGGGTATTATCACTATATTGTTTGTTCTCTTTTATAGAACTCTGCATGTGAATTGGCCTTGTGGCCCCTTGCTTGTGCTCGAACTGTGTGGTGACTTTGTGATCCACCCCGAGTTTGCTTTGCTTTTCTTGGCTGGTCTTGTGACCACTTGTTCTCCCCCACTTTGCCTATGGGGGTGTGTCAAAATGTTATAGTTGTTATTTTTGGGGGTACAACCCAATTAGGGTTAGTACTTGTACCCAACTCTTTCATAGTTCATTCATTCTCGTTCACTCTTTCCGACATATACATATGATTACAAGGAATACGAAGAGATGCGACTTCTATCTGTTTTTTTATGTTGCGGTTCGATACAGTGACGACTCGGGTAACTGCTCAATATCGAGTCAGTTATTTGTCCTTGGTGTCGCGCTGTATTTTTCGTCGAGTCAAAGGTCAGCGACCTTTGACCTTCGCGTAACCTCCAGCTATTATGTTTGTTGACTCGCGTGTTGTTTCGCTGTAGTCTGCTCCGTTTCGTGTTATTGTTTCGATACTTCAGAAGCGTTAAATTACTTGTTTCCAACAACTATGATCAGAGTTCCTACCACAAGACTTCCGTTACCAAACTCTCTAAGGCATTCCTATCCTATCCAAGATCCTTACTCTAACACAACGGATTCACCTCTTTATACCACAAGCTCTGGAACAACTTTTTACAAACTCCACTCCATACAGCAAATGACTGAACACATGTCAATGTACAAAATATAACAGAAAACTTCTGAACTAATTGACAATGGCTGAATACATATAGTTCACCCTGGTAACTAACTTTGGACTTCCCTGTCGGGCAGGTGATGCTGGGATACAAAAGGATTACAGAGGCAGGCCAGAGGGTGGAAGAGTAAGTATATGGGTGAGGGTAGGAGAAAGAAAGATCGGGGGGAAGGGGGGGAATGGAAGACAGAACAGTGCAAACCTGCAGTACAAGCACTAGTTTTCCAAACCACCTTCAGATGGAGGTACCCCAGACTCAAAGCTCGGGACGGCAAGAATTGGCACGGCACGACACGACACGGCACGTCACGGCACAGAACGGCACGGCACGGCACGGCACGGCACGGCACGGCACAGCACAGCACAGCACCGCACCTGGTGTGTGGGTGTGTGCAGGTTGCGGTTGAAGGTGCTGGTCCAGCGCATGAGCTCCACCAGTGCTGCCTCCATCCACACCACCTCACGCCGTAGCTGTTGGGGTGGGGGGGAGTGATGCGGGATGCATTGGGTGACTTTGAGTCTTGACTTGTGAATGCTGACTCTTAAGTCGCCGGAAAAATGCCTCCCTCCACACCACCTCGCGCTGCAGATGCTGGGGGGGAGGGAAGGGGGTGCAAGGGGTGGCCGTGATGGGAGCTGCAGGGGAGGGGGACGAAGGTGAGACAGGAGCAGGATTGAGAGTGGGGTGACGGTTGAGGGGGGGGGGCAAAGGGAATGCAGGAGTAGAGCGGGGCGAGGGGGCAAGTGCGTACATTGAGTCGAATTATAAACCACGAAAGAGTGGGGAGGGGGCACGTGTGGAGAGAGCAAGCGAGAGAGGGTGAGTCATGGGCGCAGTGCAGTGCAAGCACTGCTCCATTCAGGCACGGGTAATCCCCTCTACTCCTGCCAGCAAAGCAACCTCTCATGCTCACCCTTCCAAGTGACCCACTGCAGTGCATGCCACCCTCCCCCTGCAGTGCATGCCACCCTCCCCCTGTAGTGCACGCCACCCTCCCCCTGCAGTGCATGCCACCCTCCCCCTGCAGTGCATGCCACCCTCCCCCTGCAGTGCATGCCACCCTCCCCCTGCAGTGCATGCCACCCTCCCCCTGCAGTGCATGCCACCCTCCCCCTGCAGTGCATGCCACCCTCCCCCTGCAGTGCATGCCACCCTCCCCCTGCAGTGCATGCCACCCTCCCCCTGCAGTGCATGCCACCCTCCCCCTGCAGTGCATGCCACCCTCCCCCTGCAGTGCATGCCACCCTCCCCCTGCAGCGCATGCCACCCTCCCCCTGCAGCGCGTGCCACCCTCCCCCTGCAGCGCGTGCCACCCTCCCCCTGCGTGCCCCACTCCTTTCCTGCGTGCCACCCTCCTTTCCTGCATTGCACACCGCGCCTTGTTCCCGGTTACCTGGTGCACGGTTTGGGTCTGCTCCCGTGCCTTTGCCTCCCACCGCTGCTGCTCCTTCTGCACTGCTGCATGGCGCTGACAGGTGTGGGGCGAACGGGGTATGAGGAAGATTTGAGGCATGTGAGGAGGCGCGGATGAGAGGGGCGTGGGGGAGGGATGAAATGGGAAGAGAGGGAATTAGGAGTTAAGGAATAAAGAAAATGGGGACAAGAGAGGGAGATTGAAGTGTTGTGGTGTGGGGAAGGGTTTGTGCTGAAGCATGCACACCTGTTGCAGTGTGGTGATTCGCTGACGTTGATCCAACATGGCATGCTGCATGCTCACATGCTCCTGGTGTGGCACAAGAAAGGGAAAGGGAGTGGGAGGGCATTCGGAATGAGGAATTCATTGGTATCAGGCAATTTGCTCATGAGGAGCTTGGGATGCCACAACAGCCCCAACAAGGGGCACGTACACATGCTAACACCCATGCACGTACTCGTGTGGGTGCACACATGCATACACATGCATGCACACGCACAGACACATGCTAACACCGATGCACACATGCACAGAAATACACACACATGCACGCATGTACACGCATGTACACGCATGCATGCATGCACGCATACACACATGCACACATGCACACATGCACTCACACGCACACACCGACACACACATGCACACATCCACACATGCACGCATACCTAGACAAGGACACATACACACACATACACACATACAGACATGCACACACATGCACAATCACACACACCTGCCTGAGTGCGTCCATCCACGCACTGTCCACCAGCCACTTCTGGTGCCCCCGCCATGCATGGCGGCCCATGCACCAGAGGGACATGGGGGGAGCGAGGAGCAGAGGGGCCGTTGGAGAGACGCAGGGCAGAGGCGCCGACATGTGCATGCTTCTGAGGCACGGGGTGTAAGGGGGGTGAGGGGGGTGAACGGGAAAAGCTATTGAGGCGCCTCAAAAGACATGGCCACAGTAATGAGGCAGATGGAGAGAGTGGGCGGGAGAGGGCGGGAGAGGGTGGGAGAGCGTGGGAGAGGGCGGGAGAGGGCGGGAGAGGGCGGGAGAGGGAGATTGACACATGGGGGGAATGGGAAAGAGGGGCAGAGGGAGTGGGAGAGGGGCAGGTGGGGCAGAAAAGGGTAATGGCAACATCATGGTGTGACGTAGAGCGGTGTGCCATTGGGGACGCGAAGAGAGAACCAGGGCAGATGGGTGACGATGGTGATGCATGTGGCGAGGTGGGAGGTATTGTTTGGGTGGTTTTGATGGTCTGGTTGGCTCGTGAGAGTGGAATATAGGCGAGTGAGTGAGTGAGCGAGTGGGTGAGTGAGTGGGTGAGTGAGTGGGTGAGTGGGTGAGCGGGTGAGTGAGTGGGTGAGTGAGTGAGAGCATGTGTCACTGGGGCTGACTTGCGCTGGTACGAGCACAGGGCAGAAGAAGGTGTTGGTGCAACCCTACGGTTTGCATTCGGCTTGTTGTCCATGTGCGTGCATGCGTGTGTGCATGGAATGGTATGAGGGCATGAAATAATATATATTTTATGCTTACAATAGTGTGTGAATGATGAGGCATGATTTTGAATGTGTGTGTCGAGTCAATAGCGAGTTATCGCTAGTCGCGTGTCACGTCGTCGTTTGCGTGTCGTGTGCGGTTTTTCTATTTTGTCGTGTGTGGAACGTTCGGCGTGTCGCAGGTGTGCGCAGCAGACTTCCAAGAACTCAAGGAAGAACTTACCTTGAAGAACCAGAGCCTTGGTTTCAAGAATTAAGTGATTTCGAAGCTCTCCAAAAGGGTAAACTTTAAGATAGTGAGAATAGTTGCATTACTTTGTGTAGTGTAACATTTCTCTTGGTATAGGCCCTTGTGGAGGGTAGTTTCGAGATCCTTCGTGGTTGGGGACAGTGTGGCACTGTTCCACATCACTGTACCTCGGCTCTTGGGGTTTGTAGGAGCTGGGAGTCATTCCCAACTCGTAACTCTTCCTATCTTGTGTTCTAAGACTATAGTGGCTGCCATAGTACCGTTCGTTCAAACCAACGCCGTGTCGTCAATTCTTTATCAAATCGTGCAATCTAAATTGCTTATTGTAGACGACGTGAAGACGCTCCAGATCTAATTTGAATCAAGTCATTTGCAGCTGTGAGCAGGACGCTATCAACGTTTGAAGCCGCTGTGCAGAAATCCGTCTGTGCTCTCTATCTTTCGTTTTCAGCACATTCAAGCCTATTGTGACTATAACAAGTGGTATCAGAGCCCCTTGGAGCAGTTTCGACAATGGCTGGACCTGAAGAAAGGGGTGGCAGAGTTGCTGGTGGCAGTGGAGAAGCCCAAGCTCAAGGCCAACCCCGTGATTCAGCCATGGCGCCCATGCAACCAAGTCTTGGCCCACCTAGGGATGAGCCTAGGGTGTTTGGGCTTGACAAGTTCGACGGTGACAACTTTGCTGAATGGTCCTTCAAGATGGAGAACATCTTTGACCACTATGACCTGCTGGAGGTGATGGAAGGAACGGAGAAGCGCCCCGAGAACGACCCGGAGAAGAGCCCGTAGGTGCGGAAGAGCGCACAAGGCTATCTCCTACTTGGGCAAGCGTTGGGGAGCAGCCAGATCCGTCACATCAAGCCATTCCAGCGTGAACCAGAGAAAGGACCAAAGGCATGGGCTGCTCTCAAGGGTGTACACGCTCGTGCAACAGCGGCGGTAGCGGTGGTGTTGGAACGGCAAATGGCGGCACTACGAATTGAAGAAGACGAAGCGGTTGAAGAAGGGGTGCAGAAATTCTTCGACTTGTTGACGCGGCTTGAGGGAGCTGATTTGAACTACAGTGAGCTCCAAAAGAAGACCAAGTTGCTGGCCTTACTCCCAGAGTCATGGTCCTCTCTCATCATCAACCTCAATCGTGACTTGCCCCGCCTCTCGCTCGAAGACGTGAAGCGAGCGATCCTTCAAGAGGATTTCCGTCGCCGTGAGTTGGCGAGTGCGGATGGCGCCGGGGCAGCAAGCATCGGCCGTGGATATGGCCGTGGAAGGGGCAAAGGACGTGGAGGAGGAAGGTTTGGAGGCAGCAACTTCAACGGAGGCCGCGGGAGTAGCGGATACGGCAATGACAACAAGAACAACGGACGCGGTCGCGGACGGTTCGACGGCGAGTGTCATTTTTGCCACGAGAGCGGACACATGTGGCGCGATTGCTACAAACTCCTTGATGGATGGACTCCTGCTCAAGGCCAAGAGGGTAGAGGAGCAGGAGGAGGGAGAGGAAGAGGCCGTGGAGGCCGTGGCGGTCGCGGAGGTGCTGCTGCAAGTATGAAGAGTGCCGGCAACGAGAGCGAGTCGAGGGACGATCGCTTTCCGGGTCAATTCTTCTTCGTGTCCACGCAAGCATCGGCTGGTCCAGAGAAGGATGAAGGCTTTGAGGAGCCAGCAGCTGTGGGGAAGGTCACCCTACACTCCCTGGACTATTGGGTGATCGATAGCGGCGCTACCTATAGCATGACACCTCGTGCGGACTTGCTCACCGAACTTGAGCCGTCACCGGTGAAGCATGTGACATCGGCTTTGGGGCAGCGAGCAGAGGTGAAAGGCATGGGCAAGGCCATGTTCAAGGGTGCTGATGGGAAGATGGTGGGCCTCGAACGTGCTTTGGGTGCCCAACCTTGCTGCCAACCTGATTTCCGTGCGGCGGTTGCAAAAGGCCGGCATGGACACGAGCTCGAAGGGAGCTAAGACCTACACCGCGAGGCTTGGCGAGCGGATTCTTTGGGACCTTCACGAGGATAGGGATGTCTACAACGAGATGTGGCAGATCCCTGTGGTCCCCATGCCTAAGGAGAGGCAAGTGGCAGCAAGCATCAGCACCAAGGGTGAAGCGGTTGGTAGCGGCGATGGCACGAACGGTCGCGCTAAGGAGATTGAGTCTAAGAAGTGCAATCTTGGAGGGACCAGCAAGCTTGGTGAACATGAGGAGAGTGGTGCAGCAGCCAAGGAGCAGCACAAGGGTGAGGAGAACCCCAAGGCAGTAGCGGAGGAGGAGTACGGAGAGAGCATATGGGGCACCATTGCGAGTGCGGCATTCTCCAATCCGACTTCGGCTACGGGGGAGTGTGATTGGCTCACCTTGCATCGGCGAATGGGGCATGTGGCCCTGCCCATCTTGCAGCAGCTAGTGAAGAATGAGATGGTTGCTGGCATACGTGTGAAGGGGGAGCCCGATGAGGTACTTGGCTGCCCGACGTGCATGCAAGCCAAATTCACCCGTTACCCGTTCTCTAGTTCGGAGGCAACGGCTAAGGCACCACTTGATGAGGTGGTGATGGACGTGGTGGGCCCCTTGAAGCTTGGAGCTGCTGGAGCTGAGTACTTTCTCACCATTGTGGATGTCTACACTCGCATGACTTGGGTGTACGTGCTGTCCAAGAAGAGTGACGTGGCTGAAACGGTGAAGACCGATTGGTTGCCGATGGTGGAGCGGCAACAAGACCGGCTAGTGAAGGCAATTCGCACCGATCGAGGGGGAGAGTTCCTGAGCAAGGATTTCTCATTGTGGCTGAAGAAGAATGGCATAAGGCACTCCCTTACCATGCCATACTCCCCTGCAATGAACGGCATCACCGAGCGAGCGAACCAGACAATCACGGAGACGGCGCGTGGGTTGCTCATTGAAGCCGGGCTACCCGAATATTTCTGGCCTGATGCGGTGCGGAGTGCGTGTGTGGCCAAGAACAGAGCCTTGACTCATGTGGGAGCAGACAAATGGGTGCCCTATGTGGAGTGGATTGGAAGGAAGCCAAAGGTGGATATGCTTCGGGTGTTCGGGTGCATGTGCATGGCGCTCGTGCCTAAGCATCTTCGGCACAACAAGCTCGGTGCCAAGGCGATATGGGCTGTGCACTTGGGCATGGCTCAAAACAGCAAGGGGTGGCTTCTTTGGGACCCATTCACTAAGAAATTCTTGGTGAGCAGGGACTGCAAATTCATGGAGAATCTGATGTACAAGGATTGGAAGGCGGAGAATGAGGCGAAGATAGGCATGCGGTTTGGGGAGGTGAAGAGTTCCGGTTTGGAGCATGTGGAGCTGCCCTTGGAGCTGAGCAGCAGCAGCACCACCACAAGGCAATCTTCCCTTGTGAATGGGGGAGAGGAGGCCAAGGATGCAGAGGAAGAAGAGGAGGAGGTGCAGCAAGTGAGCGAGCGTGCACCGACACTTCCTTCTCGCACTACGAGTGCTCCACGGATCCGAGTCACCCCGCAGCAACGCCAAGGCCTTCATGTCCCTGCAGCTGAGGAGGAAGGAAGGGGCAAGAGGAGAATTCAAGCCCTTAATAGGCTGACCTATGAGGCACTGGGAAAGCCAGCCAAGTCAGCCTTGGCCGGAGAGGCACTTATAGTTGGAGATGACAAGGAGAGTGACTACGAGGAGTGTGCCTTCGCGTTCTTCTCTCCGGTGGAGATGCCGGGGGAACCAGCAACTCTCAAGGAGGCCTTGGAGAGTAGTGATGCTGAGGAGTGGAAGAAGGCAATGGAGAGAGAGCTGAAGAGCATTGAGGAGAACGGAACGTGGGAATTGGTGGAGCTACCGGAGGGGCGTAAGGCGATTACGTCCAAGTGGCTCTTCAAGATCAAGTCCGACGCCGACGGCAAGATCGAGCGCTACAAGTCTAGGCTTGTGGCAAAGGGGTACCAGCAGAAGGAGAAGGTGGACTATAAGGAGTTGTTTGCTCCTGTGGTGAAGCCGACGACACTGAGAACCCTACTCGCGGGAGTTGCCATCAAAGGATGGGTGGTGAAACAAATGGATGTCACAACGGTATTCCTCAACGGCGTCCTTGAGGAAGAGATTTTTATGGCGCAGCCAGAGGGGTTTGATGATGGTAGTGGCAGAGTTCTGAGGCTGAAGAAGGCCCTTTATGGACTGAAGCAGGCCCCTAGGCAGTGGTACTTGAAGCTGCGAGGAGTTTTGGAGGAGATAGGGTTCACTCCTTCATCCGCCGATCATTCCTTGTTCATGCTTGGCGAGAGGGAGCAGAGGAGTTTCATGGTGGTTTATGTGGATGACATCCTCATTTTCTCACCCTCTTCTGACCTTGTGAAGGAGGTGATGCTGAAGCTTCAAGACAAGTTCAAGTGCAAGGCACTTGGTGACGTGAGCTTCTACCTCGGGCTTCACATGGAACGCGATGTGGAGAAGCGGTGCATGCGGGTGCATCAACGAAAGTACCTGGAGGCATTGGCTGCCAATTTTGGGCAGAGTGAAGGCCATGTGGCTACACCCTTTCCCTCTGGGTTCAAGTGTGTGAAGGGACCAGAGGAGGAGAGCGTTGGTGAAGAGGAGAGGCGTCGTTTTCACTCGTTGGTGGGCAGCCTCATGTACGCGGCGGTAAACACCCGACCGGACGTCGCGTTTGCTACCGGACAGTTGGCTAGGGTTGTTCAATGCCCTAATGAGGAGCAGGTAGCAGCTGGAATGAGGGTGGCCAAGTATCTTGGCCAAACACCGACCGTTGGGCTGCAATATTCGGCGGCGGCGCAAAGGCGCCAAAAGGGCGCGGATAGTGTTGAACCAGGGCGTTTGTTCCTCACCGCATTCTCGGATGCTTCTTTTGCATCAGAACCAGAGGACATGACAAGTGTTGGAGGGTTCATTTGCTGTGTTGGTGGAGGCCCAACTGCTTGGGAGAGCAAGAAGCAGGTGGATCAAGCATTGAGCTCGGTGGAGTCCGAGTATATGGCACTCTTCCGTGCCGTACGAGAGATTGTGTGGCAGCGGCGTTTGTTGGCTGAATTGGGGGAGGAGCAGCAAGGACCTACCCCACTCTACTGTGACAGCCAGGGTGCCATTGCTCTTGCTAAGAACCCTGTGTTGCATGGCCTCACCAAGCACATGAGGGTGAAGTGGCATTGGACGAGGAGCATGGTGGCCGCGGGTGAAGTTGAGTTGCACTATGTGAAGACGACAAGGCAGCCAGCTGACATGATGACCAAGAGGCTGGTGGAGCAGCAGCATTGGAAGTGTTGCAAGCTGGCTGGGATGGCTCTGAACTGAGAGAGCAAGATCCTAAGGCCAACAATCCGAGGGAGAGTTTGTTGGTGCAACCCTACGGTTTGCATTCGGCTTGTTGTCCGTGTGCGTGCATGCGTGTGTGCATGGAATGGTATGAGGGCATGAAATAATATATATTTTATGCTTACAATAGTGTGTGAATGATGAGGCATGATTTTGAATGTGTGTGTCGAGTCAATAGTGAGTTATCGCTAGTCGCGTGTCACGTCGTCGTTTGCGTGTCGTGTGCGGTTTTTCTATTTTGTCGTGTGTGGAACGTTCGGCGTGTCGCAGGTGTGCGCAGCAGACTTCCAAGAACTCAAGGAAGAACTTACCTTGAAGAACCAGAGCCTTGGTTTCAAGAATTAAGTGATTTCGAAGCTCTCCAAAAGGGTAAACTTTAAGATAGTGAGAATAGTTGCATTACTTTGTGTAGTGTAACATTTCTCTTGGTATAGGCCCTTGTGGAGGGTAGTTTCGAGATCCTTCGTGGTTGGGGACAGTGTGGCACTGTTCCACATCACTGTACCTCGGCTCTTGGGGTTTGTAGGAGCTGGGAGTCATTCCCAACTCGTAACTCTTCCTATCTTGTGTTCTAAGACTATAGTGGCTGCCATAGTACCGTTCGTTCAAACCAACGCCGTGTCGTCAATTATCTATCAAATCGTGCAATCTAAATTGCTTATTGTAGACGACGTGAAGACGCTCCAAATCCAATTTGAATCAAGTCATTTGCAGCTGTGAGCAGGACGCTATCAACGTTTGAAGTCGCTGTGCAGAAATCCGTCTGTGCTCTCTATCTTTCGTTTTAGGCACATTCAAGCCTATTGTGACTATAACAGAAGGGGAGGAGGGCGAGCGGTGTGTGACAGATGTGGTATGAGTCGACTCAAAATAAGCACTTACACGTCCAATGTGCTGCTGTGTGCCGCACAAGTCACTGCCTCGCTTCCTGCCCTCACTGCCCTTAGTCCAGAACCACGCTCTCCTTCCCACCACCCCCTCCTCAGATTGCTCCCTCTACTCCCAACACCCCCACGTTTCCCACTTCTCCCGCCGTTCCCACTGCTTCCAGGGCTCCCTCCAAACATCTTCACCCACTCCTGCTGCCTCACCACTGCCCCACTGCCCGCTCTAGCACCAATCGCTTCTTCTTCCCCATCCCCCTCTCCCCTCTCGCTCACTTCCTCCTCCCCCCCCTCGTCCACTTGCTCCTCTCCCTCCCCCCATGCTGCTTCCGTTCCCTCCCTCTCTCGGCTGCTATGAGCATCACATGCTTCCCGGCTCTCACTCTCCCCCTGCTGCTCCGCGCCCACGCTGCCCCTCACTCTCCGTGCAATCCCCCCCACCCTCGGCCAATCTGCTCTACCTACTTCCCTTGACCCTGCTACTGCTGTTGCTAGTGATGCTGCTGCTACTGCCGATGCTGGTACGGATGGCGATGGTGGTGGGTGTGAGCGTGGAGATAGAACGGATGTGGCTGCTTGATGAATAGACACAGCTGCCGCTGCTGGTAGTGCTTCTGCTGGTGCTGCCATGGCTGATGGTGGTGGTGGCACTACTGCTGCTGCTGATGGTGTCTTTGCTGGTGACGCTACCACATGCTCCCCCACCCTCTCACGCCCCTCCCACTCCCCTGTCCCCCCCACCAGCTCTCGAGCTTGCTCCCCCACCCTTCCACCCCCCTCCCACCCCTCTGCCTCGCTGAGCAGCACTCGGGCTTGTTTCCTCAGTCGCTGCAGCCGCGTGTGGGAGTGGTGGAAGGCGAGGGTGGAGGCGAGGTGGGTGGCGGAAGAGGGAGCTTGTGGCCTGCTGTTGGCAGGGATAACGAGGAGGGGAGGGGAGAGGAGGGAAGGGGGGAAGAGATGAGAGGGAGTGGAAGGGACGGGGAATGGCGAGTGGTGAAGAAAGGTGTTTCTTCCCACACAGTAGCAATCCCGTGTGCGTTCTGGTGGGATGTGGTATGGTGTGGTATGGTGTGGTGTGGTGTGGTGTGGTGTGGTGTGGTGTGGTGAGGTGTGGTGTGGAGGAGACTGCGTAAATGCCATGTGGTGGGGCTGAGGCGTCGTGAGGAGGGGTGGGTGGAAATGATAAACCGCAGGCAGTAAGAAAGGAGTCCTGGGAGCGATGGGAACAGAGGGGGGTGGGGAAGAATGAGGAGTAGTGGGAGGCTCAAATGTGCTCAATCTGTTAGTAGGGAGAACTTCAATCTCTGCTCGTTATGGATTCGAATGAATGCAGGGGTGTAGACGAGGGAAATTCGGCGGGTTATGGGAGGGAGGGAACAGTGGGGAAAGAGAATGGGGGAGGCAAGCACTGGCTTAAAGCGATCGTCTCACTGAGAGTGGTGCGACGGCAGCTACCCCATAAGCGCATGCAGTGCTGCATCCCGCGTAAGTGACGAGACGATGTTTGAGTGGACTCAACAATGGTCTTACTGTGAGTGGCATGCTGCCAGCTCCCCCATGAGTGTGTGCAGCGCTGCATCCCGCGCTGCCCTCTCCTCCTCCGCCCCTCGCACCACCTCCCTCACTGCCGCCTCCCATCGCCCCACCTGCTGCCGCTTCACCTCCAGCGCCTCCTGCTCTCACTCCCACGGGGGAGGGGGACGCGGAAGGGGAGAGGAGGGCAGGAAGAACGGAGGGGAGAGGGGGGATTGATGGGATGACACCCAAGAAGGCACATGGCATGCAAGATGGACGGGCGTGGGATGCTGCGACTAGGTGACTTTTGAGTTGACTCATGAGTCACCACATCACTCGCCCATCCACCTCCCAACTTCTCACTCTCCCATCGCCACACCAGTGTACCAGCCCACCAGTGCGCGCACCTGGAACTGCCAGCACACGTGCTCCATGTGATGAATGCACGCCGCTATCTCCCTCGCCTGCCACCCCTGCAGCACCGCGCCCTTGCCCTTGCCCCCCTCCCCATGCTGCTTGCGCTGCTGCCTCGACCCTCCCCGCCCCCGTGCCTGCTCTTGCACAGTCGCCCCGGCAGTGCTTGTACAGCAGCTGGATGCAGCAGCACCAGCAGCAGCAGCGCCAACAACAGCAGGAGCAGCAGCAGCAGAAACAGCAGCACCAGGAGCACCAGCTTTCCGACTCCCCTGCTTTGAACTCTTTCCTTCGCTCTCCTCCTCTGCCCGTACCACCACCAGCCTCCTTGTCTCCTCAGCTGCTGCCTCCACCTCCTCCACTCGCTCTCTCAGCCTATCCAACTCACTCACCGCTGCTCCTGCTAGCTGCCGCCCCTCCATCTCCCGTGCGCGCCCTTCCCGCCTCAGCTCCTCTATTTCTCGCATCAGCACACACACCACCTCCTCACTCTCCCTCCACTTCCCCTCCACTCTCTCCCGTTCCTCCCCCTCGCTCTCCCTTGCCGCAGCAGCAGCCCTTCTCTCTGCGTCCACCCTCCGTGTTTCAGCCCTTGCAGCAGCTACCTCGTCCTGTAACCGTCTCACCTCTCTCCTCACCTCCTCCTGTGCCACCTGCCATGCCTCTAACTCCCTCTCCCTCTCTCTCTTCATTTTACTCTGTACCTCAACCGTCGCTTGCACACTCTCCACCTCCCCCCTCTTCTCCTCCACTTTCTCCACCTGCCTCTCCCCCAGCTTGCTCCCACTCCCCTCCCCCTTCTGCTGGCCCATGCCTCCCACACGCACCCTCTCCTGCATCTGCTGCCTTGCCCACTCCTCTCGTTCCCCCTTCAAAGTCTCATTCTCTCCCTTCAGCATCTCAATCTCTTCCCTCAGTGTCTCATTCTCCCCTCTCAGCTCCCCCACCTCCCTCCCCACCACAGCAACGTCTTCTGCTGCTGGCACCAGAACCTCTTCCTTCCCCTCCCTTTCCACAGCCCTCCTCCTTTCCTCCTCCACTCCCCTCGCCACCTCCCTCCCCATCTCCTCCACCCTACACCGCAAACCCTGCACCTCTCCCTCTGCCTCCGCCACACGCCTCTCCCCCTCCGCCAGCAGTACCTTCACCTCTTCTCGTTCCCATTCCATCTCCCCTACCACTTGCCTCAGCCTCCCCACCTCCTCCTCCCCATCTCGCAATTTCTCTCTGAGTTCTTCCTCTCGCTTTCTTCCTTGGCTTATCCCCACCTTTGCAGCCTCTGCAGCCCTCCCAGCTTCCCCCGCCTGTTTCTTCCACTGCTCCTCCCTCTCCTTCCACTCTCCCTCCCGTTCCTCCCAATCAGCCAATTTATTCTCCCACTCCCCCTCTCTCTCCTTCCACTCCCGCTCCTTCTCCTTCCACTCCCGCTCCTTCTCCTTCCACTCCCGCTCCTTCTCCTTCCATCCCACCTCCCTCTCCTCCATCTTTCTCACCTTCCCTTCCATCTCACACACCCTCCTCTCCCTTGTCTCTGCCACGCCCTTCCACCTGTCTCTCTCCCCTTGCATTTCCTCCACCTCCCTCTCCTTCCGCTCCACCTGTCCTCTCACCCTCCTCACCTCATCCTCCCTCTCCTTCACCTCCTCACGCAACCGCGCCCCCTCTCTCTGCACCTCCCACCGTATTTTCCTCTCCTCCTCACATTCCTCTTCCCTCCTTTTCACCTCTCTCTTCAAATCCTCCACCTCTCCCTGTGAACATCTCACTTCCGCTCTCACCTCGTCCCTATCTTCCACTATCCGCCCCATCTCCTCCTCCACCCTCTCCTTCTCCTCCTTCACCTCCCTAACTCTCCTCTCCCCTTCCTCCTCCACCTCCCTCACTCTCCTCTCCCCTTCCTCCATCATCTCCCTCACTCTCCTCTCCCCCTCCTCCTCCACCTCCTTCACTCTCCTCTCCGTCGCCCCCACCACCTCATGCAGCGCCTCACACTCCTCTTGCAGGCTCACCACACGACCCTCCATCGCCCCCATCCGCTGCCTCTGCACCACCGCCACCTCTCTCCCCCTCTCCAGTTCCCCTTTCACCCTCTCGTTCTCCCTCTCCGCCTCGCCCTTCGCCCTCCTCTCTCTTTCCACCTCCTCTTCGAGACCCACCACCCTCTCTTTTAGCACCTCCACCTCCTCCCGCACTCGCTCCTCCTCCTCCCTCATCTCCTCTACTCTCCTCTCCACCGCCTCCTTCTCCTCCCTCACTCTCCCCACCTCCTCAACTGCTTCCCTCTTCTCACTCTCCACTCTCTCCCTCTCCTCCTGCAACCCCCGAACCCGCCCTTCCATCTCCCCCACCAACCCCTCCAGCCTATCCCTCTCCCCTCCCACCCTCTCCAACTCCCCCAATACTCCTCCCAGTCTCTCCCTCAGCGCACCCACCTCCACTTCCAACCTCACAACCTCCCTCCCCTTCTCCTCCACCTCTCCCTCCACCTCCCTCACTCTCTCCTTCCACCCCTCCACCTCCTCCACCCCCCTCCTCTCCCCAGCCTCCTTCTCCTCCCCCAGCACCTTCAGCTCTCTCTCTCTCATCTCAATCACTCCCTGCAGCTCCTCTTGCACTCTCACAGCCTCCTCTGCTTCCTCCATTGCTCGCCTCTCCGCCGCTTGTCTGCTCTCCACCTCTCTCCGCTGCCCTTCCACCATCATCTTCAGCTTGTACACCTGCTCCTATACCGACTGGTGCTGCAGAAACAGATGTGCTTTCGACGCCTCTACCATTCTCCGCCGCTCCTTCTCCTTCCCCAGCTCCCGCTCCACGCCTGCCCTCCTCTCCACCTCGGACTTCACCTCCTCTCTCACCCTCTCCATCTCCCCTTCCAGCTCCCTCAGTCTCTCTTCCTTCCCTTGCACCTGCGCTTTTAGCCACACCACCTCTCGCTCCTCCTCTCCCTGCTTTTTCACCTCTCCATCCTTGCCCCCCTCTAATCTTGCCCCTCCTGCCGCTCCTGCTGCTCCTGCCTCTCCTGCTTCCCCTGGTCCTTCAACTCCTTGTCAGATATATTTGTCTTAGCCTATGTAGGCTGTAGTGGGGTAGACACTAAGGGGTACAGCTTTCATATTTGTATCTCACACTTTCCTAGTTCATTCACTCCTGTTATTCATTTCACATGGTATAGAGCAGGTTCCCACATGGGACCGTTCCTTCCTAAGGGCCCACCATAAATTTTTTTTTTTTAGCTGCCCAACGCCCTGCCCTAAATTTTTTTTTTTCGCGGCCCCTACGTGGCCCCTTTGTCGCCTAGCGCGCCCCTACGCGGCCCCTACACGGCCCCTAGCGCGCCCCTACCCGGCCCCTACGCGGCCCCTACGCGGCCCCTGACGCGGCCCCTACGCGGCCCCTGACGCGGCCCCTGCGCGGCCCCTGACGCGGCCCCTACGCGGCCCCTACGCGGCCCCTGACGCGGCCCTTACGCGGCCCCTGACGCGGCCCCTACGCGGCCCCTGACGCGGCCCCTACGCGGCCCCTACGCCACCCCTGCCGCGGCCCGACCCAGCCCCGTCCCTGACGCGGCCCCTAAGCTGCCCCTGACGCGGCCCCTACGCGGCCCCTGACGCGGCCCCTACGCAGCCCCTACGCGGCCCCTGGCGCGGCCCCTGACGCGGCCCCTACGCGGCCCCTACGCGGCCCCTGACGCGGCCCCTGATGCGGCCCCTACGCGGCCCCTACGCGGCCCCTGACACGGCCCCTACGCGGCCCCTGACGCGGCCCCTGACGCGGCCCCTACGCCGCCCCTGACGCGGCCCCTCCTCGGCCCCTGACGCGGCCCCTATGCCGCCCCTACGCGGCCCGGCCCGGCCCCGTCCCTGACGCGGCCCCTACGCGGCCCCTCCGCCGCCCCTACGCGGCCCCTACGCCACCCCTAAAGGGCCCCGTCCCGGTCCCGTCCCGGCCTCGCCTCCGTCCCGGACCTACCTTGGCCCCGGCCCCGACCCTGTCCCAGCCCTACCTCGGCCCCGTCCCGGACCTGCCCCGGCCCCGACCCCGTCCCGGACCTGCCCCGGCCCCGACCCTGTCCCGGCCCCGTTGCTGCCCTGTCCCGGACCCTGCTCGGCCCCGACCCTGTCCCGGACCTGCCCCGGCCCTGACCCTGTCCCGGCCCCGTTTCTGCCCCGTCCAGTACCCTGCTCGGCCCCGACCCTGTCCCGGCCCTGTCACGGCCCCAACCCAGTCCCGGACCTGTCGTTCCGCCCCTGGTAAGAGCCTAGCCGGGCCGAGCCGCGCGGCCGAGCCGCACTGCCTTGCTAATTGCCCTGCCGAGTCGCACTGTCCTGCCTCGCTCAGTTGCACTGCTGCTGCTGCTAGTCTGCTGCTGCTCCTAGCATGGCTAGTCCTAGTCTTCTCACCTTTGATGCTGAGGGTCGAGCGGTTGACTTTGATGTCTGGCTAGATGATCTGCAGCTTTTCCTTCAGTGCGATAGCAAGGATGGTCTCTCCCTGTTTGATCTTACGTCGGGTGCCTCTACTGCCCCTGCTGCTGATGCTGACAGTACCGTTCGCTCGCAGTGGCTCACGCGCGATGCTGCTGCCCGCCTTGCAGTGCGTAGTCACCTACCGTCTACTGAGCGCGCGCACTTTAGTCAGTACAAGAGTGCTAAGACTCTGTACGACGCAGTAGTTGCACGCTACTCCTCCCCTGCCACTGCTGCGCTTAGTCGCCTCATGCTACCGTACCTGTTCCCTGACCTCGCTGCTTTTGCCACAGTCACTGACCTCATTACGCACCTCCGCACTAGTGACACTCGCTACCGCGCTGCGCTTCCTGCTGAGTTCTGCGCCCAGAACCCCCCCCCCATGTACATCACCCTCTACTACCTAGTCACTCGACTCCCTGACACTCTCCGCTCGGTCAGGGACCACTTCCTCTCTCTTTGCCCTACCACCCTCACTGTCGACCTCCTCGAGGAGCGCCTCCTTGCAGCAGAGACTAGTATCACCGCTGTAGGCGCCTCTCGTGGTGACCCCCGTACCCCTTTCTTTGAGGGGTGCTCCCCCGTTCCTCTTTTGCCCTCTGTTGCCTCTGCTGCTGCTGTCGACCTTGTTGGCACCGAGTCGGTCAGCGCTGCGTCTGCTCCTAGTGAGAGGCGCCGCATCAGCAAGGGCAAGCGGGGCAAGGGAGCTGGAGGAGGTGGTGGGGGCGGAGGTAGTGGCGGTGGAGGCGGAGGAGGGGGTGGGGGTGGGGGTGGTGGTAGAGGTGGGGGCTTCGGTGGCGGAGGTGGAGGTGGAGGCGGCGGTGGCGGTGACGGGAGGGGTGGAGGAGGCGGAGGCAGCGGAGGTGGAGCTGGTAGAGGCGGAGCTGTGCAGCGGGGACCCCAGCAGTAGCAGCGCTCTCGTGAGACCCCGTCGCCCCAGCAGCTTCGTGAGTGGTACGCGGGGCGCCAGGGGTCTGGGGGTGCTGGTCCCTGTACTTACGTCCTGCGCACCGGCGACCGCACTGGAGAGCAGTGTGGCGGTCTGCACGCCACCCAGCGCTGCTTCGGTCGCCTGACAGACGCATGGCGTGCCCAGTTCCCGGACGCCACTGAGATCCCTCGTTGGGGTGATCTACGCAGGTCGGGTGTAGCTATCTTTGATCTTGACTTTGATGCTATTCTTGCTGCCATGTATGCTGTGTCTATTAGTGCTGAGGATGACTGTTACGTGTGTGTTCCGCCTGACCCTGGTATTGAGGCTGCTGCTCTAGGTGCTCGTGAGTCTGCTGCTCCAGGTACTCGTGAGTCTGCTGCTCTAGGTGCTGGTGAGTCTGCTCTCTTAGGTACCGCGTCGGCGCAGGTCTTGCACACCTTCACCCTCGACTCGGGTGCTTCCCGTTCCTTCTTTCGAGACCGCACCACCCTTACGCCGCTCAGTCGGCCGGTTGCGGTCTCCCTTGCAGACCCCTCTGGGGGTCCTGTTCTTGCTCGCTACTCCACTGTCCTCCCGTGTCCTGCGGCCCCGTCCGGCTCCCTGTCTGGTCTCTACCTCCCCTCGTTCTCTACGAACTTGGTGAGTGGTGCTGACCTTCAGGATGCAGGGGTTGACCAGTTCGCTCCTGCGGGTCAGCGAGTGACCCACTGCTCGTGTGCTCAGACGGGCCGCCACTTGGCCACGTTTACCCGTCGACCGGGGTCGAGCCTGTACACACTGACCACAGAGTCTCCCCCGGTTGCTGCGTCTGGTCAGGTAGCTGCGTCGAGTCAGGTGTTTGCTGCAGCGTCTCGGTCAGGTCCTGAGTCTGCCCCCTGCTCGTGTCGCCTCCTGTCCCACCAGACCCTCCTCTGGCACCACCGCCTTGGTCACCCCTCCTTGCCTCGTCTCCGAGGCATGGCCTCCCATGTCCTTGTCTCTGGTCTCCCCCGGTCCCTCCCTCCCCTTCCCCTGGGGCCTGCCCCTACCTGCGTTCCTTGCGTCGAGGGGCGGCAGCGCGCCGCTCCTCACTCCTCCGAGTTTCCCCCGACAGAGGCTCCGCTGCAGACTCTTCACATGGACGTGTGGGGCCCAGCCCGCGTCCGTGGACAGGGTCACGAGCGCTACTTCCTGCTGGTGGTTGACGATTACTCGCGTTACACCACTGTCTTCCCCTTGCGCAGCGAGGGTGAGGTCACTGAGGTGTTGATCGACTGGATCCGCGTTGCTCGTCTCCAGCTCAGAGAGCGTTTCGGCTCGGACTTTCCTGTTCTGCGTCTGCACTCCGACAGAGGCGGAGAGTTTTCCTCCGACCTTCTGCGAGCCTTCTGTCGTGCGGAGGGCATCCGCCAGACGTTCACGCTTCCGGCCTCTCCACAGCAAAATGGGATTGCTGAGCGCCGCATTGGCATGGTCATGGATGTCGCTCGTACGTCCATGATCCATGCGGCTGCTCCCCATTTTCTGTGGCCGTTCGCGGTTCAGTACGCGGCGCATCAGATCAACCTTCAGCCCCGGGTCTCCCTGCCGGAGACCTCCCCTACTCTGCGGTGGACGGGGAAGGTTGGTGATGCGTCTGCGTTCCGTGTCTGGGGATCTCGAGCTTTCGTCCGAGACTTGTCTGCGGACAAGCTGTCCTCCCGTGCTGTTCCTTGCGTCTTCCTCGGCTTTCCCCCTGACGCGCCTGGTTGGCAGTTTTACCACCCCACCTCACGTCGTGTTCTGTCCTCCCAGGACGTCACGTTTGACGAGTTGGTTCCGTACTACCGTCTCTTCCCCTACCGCACTGCCCCCCTCCCCCCCCCGCCGCTCTTCCTCGCTCCCGGTCCCCCCCCGGTAGACCCCCTCCCCCCTCAGGGTCCTGCCCCCTCAGGTGTGTCCCAGGTAGATGCAGTCGAGCCTGTCGAGGTAGCTGCTGACTCTGGTGCGTCTGGGGGTGCTGAGCCTGAGCGTGCGGAGCCTGGGGGTGCTGGGTCTGGGGGTGCTGAGCCTGAGCGTGCGGAGCCTGGGGGTACTGGGTCTGGGGGTGCTGAGCCTGAGCGTGCGGGGCCTGGGGGTGTTGCTTCTGGGGGTGCTGAGCCTGGGGCTGTTGGGAGTGGGGGTGTGGAGCCTGTCGGTCCTTCGGGTGCTTTGTCCCGGCGGGAGCTTCCCTCTCCACAGGAGCTGCGCGAGTGGTTTGTTCGCCGCTGGAGCCGTACTGCTGGAGCTGGAGGTGCTGCCGGTGCTGGAGGTTCTGGAGCTGGAGGCGCTGCTGGAGCCGGTACTGGAGGTTCTGCTTCTGCTGGGGGTGCTGGAGCCACGGGTCCCGGAGGTGCTCGTACTGGAGGTACTGGAGCTGCTGGGCCTGGTGGTGCTCCTGGTGCTGGAGCTACTGGTGGAGCTGGAGCTGGTGGTGCTGCTGGAGTGGGTGCTACTGGAGGTACTGGAGCCGGAGCGGCTGTGTCTGCTGGTGGTTCTGCTGGAGCTGGAGCTGCTGGAGGTACTGGAGCTGGTGGTGCTGCTGGAGTTGGAGCTGCCGCTGTGGGTACTGGTGTTGTCCCTCCTGGTACTGGTGTTGTCCCTCTTGGTTCTGGAGGTACTGCGCGGCCGCGGCCGTACTTCGTTCCGCTCCTTGAGCAGGTTCTTGGTCTTCCGCCTTCTCCTAGTCCTGCTCCTTCCTTAGAGTGTCCGCCGCCTGTCCAGTCCGAGTCACAGTTACAGCTGGTCTCCCCTCTGCCTGCTCCTTCTCCCTACGCTGGTCCTACTGGAGGTCTTGCTGAGCGTCGTGAGCCTGAGTCGCGTCCGGCGTCGCCTGTTCGTACTGCTCGCACTAGTCGTCGTGTTCCCCGTCAGCGTCCTCCTGCGGTCCCGGGCACGCATCAGATGGCACTGCGTCCTTCTACTGCGTCACAGCGTGTCCCTTTGCCGTCTCCTCCAGCGTCCTCTCTTCCTGCTCTTGCTGACCCGGAGTCTGACTCCCTTCGTGCTGCCAGTCCTACTGTCACGCGTGTCCTAGCCACTGTTGTCACTGACCCTTCCTTTGAGTCCACTGCTGCGTGTGCCTTAGTTGCCGAGCTTGTCGACTTCGCTGCTCACTGTCGTCTCGACTACGCCGCTCGTCTTGTTGCTGAGTCTGCGTCTGTCCATCCTCCGTCCGTCGGGGGTGAGTGTGCTCTTAGCACGGACGTCCTTGAGGACCGACAGGAGGAGTTCCAGTGTTTTGCTGCTACTTTACCTCATCTCGTGTCCACGCTGCTTGCCCCTGAGGGAGACCCGGATGCACCAGACATCCCGACCCCGCGCTCTTACGCTGAGGCGATAGAGGGTCCTTACTCCTCTCAGTGGCAGGCAGCCATGGACGCAGAGATGGCTTCCTGGAAGTCCACAGGCACCTACGTCGACGAGGTTCCCCCACCTGGGGCGAACATCGTCAGTGGCATGTGGATTTTCAGGGTGAAGCGGCCGCCGGGTTCTCCGCCTGTCTTCAAGGCGCGTTACGTGGCTCGAGGCTTCAGTCAGCGGCAGGGAGTTGACTACTTTCAGACCTTCTCCCCGACCCCGAAGATGACCACTCTTCGGGTTCTGCTGCACGTTGCTGCTCAGCGTGACTACGAGCTTCACTCCCTTGACTTCAGCACTGCTTTCCTACAGGGCAGTCTGCACGAGGAGATCTGGCTGCGCCGCCACCTGGCTTCACTGGGTCGTTTCCTCCTGGTACCCAGTGGAGCCTCCAACGGCCAGTCTACGGTCTCCGCCAGGCGCCACGTGAGTGGCACGACACACTGAGGACTACGCTTGCGGCTCTTGGGTTTGCTCCTTCCACTGCTGACCCGTCGATGTTTCTTCGCACCGACACTTTACTGCCGTCGTTCTACATCCTCGTGTACGTCGACGACTTGGTGTTTGCTACAGCTTACACTGCTGGACTCGCCCACGTGAAGTCCGAGCTGCAGAAGAGACACACGTGCACAGACCTGGGTGAACTGCGCAGCTATCTTGGCTTGCAGATCACCCGGGACAGAGCACGGCGCACCATCACCCTGACTCAGTCACACATGGTGCAGCAGGTCCTTCAGCGCTTCGACTTCACGTACTCCTCGCCTCAGGCCACTCCTCTGTCTACTCGCCACTCGCTCTCAGCTCTGCCTTCGGATGAATCCGTAGAGCCGAGTGGCCCGTACCCAGAGCTTATGGCTGCCTCATGTACCTGATGACCTGCACTCGACCTGACCTAGCATACCCTCTGAGCATTCTGGCGCGCTATGTTGCTCCTGGGAGACACCGACCAGAGCACATGGCTGCAGCGAAGAGGGTGTTGCGCTACTTGTGCAGTACTTCGGGCTTGGGGCTAGTGCTTGGAGGGCGGAGTCCAGTGGTCCTCACTGGTCACGCAGACGCGTCTTGGGTGGACGACCTGGCTACGCAGCGGTCGTCACAGGGTTACACCTTCAGCCTTGGCTCCGGCTCTGTTTCGTGGCGGTCTACCCGCTCGTCTTCTGTTCTCAGCTCCAGCTGTGAGGCTGATATCTACGCAGGGGCCATGGCTGCACAGGAGTTACGCTGGCTCACCTACTTGCTGACTGACCTGGGAGAGCCGCCTCGTTCTCCTCCAGTTCTGTACGTAGACAACAAGGCCATGCTGGCCTTGTGTCAGGAGCACAGACTGGAGCACAGAACGAAGCACATTGCTCTTCGCTACTTCCTTGCTCGTGAGCTGCAGCAGCGTGGCCAGCTGCGCCTTGCTTACGTGGCCTCTCAGGCCAACACTGCTGATATCTTTACCAAGGCACTTCAGCCTTGTGATCATCAGCGCTTCTGTACTATGCTAGGTCTTGTGCCTACTTGGCCTCACTTGCTTACCTCTTGACTTTGCTTGTTCTGTGATCTATATATACCTGCACTTGCTTGTTTACTTTTATATATGAACTTGCATGTGAACTGGCCTTGTGGCCTTTGAACCTGTGCTCAGACTGTGTGGTGACGTTGTGATCCACCCTGAGCTTGCTTTGCTTTGCTTTGCTTGACTGGTCTTGTGACCCCTAGTTCTCCCCCACTTTGCCTATGGGGGTGTGTCAGATATATTTGTCTTAGCCTATGTAGGCTGTAGTGGGGTAGACACTAAGGGGTACAGCTTTCATATTTGTATCTCACACTTTCCTAGTTCATTCACTCCTGTTATTCATTTCACACTCCTCTCATTTCCTCTCCCACAACAGCTATGCCACCACTCTCTCCTGTACCACCAACCACGAATGCCCCATCATTTTCCTCCGCTCTCACACCCTCTACCTCTGCTTTTGTCTCTCCCGCCACTCTCACACCTGCACCCACACCACCCACACCCTCCTCTACCTCATCCACACAACCAACACTCACTACCTTCACCCCGCTCATCCCTTCCCTCCACTCCCCTCCCCGATTTTTCCCTCCCATCTCCTCCTCCCCTTCCATCTCTCCTCCCTTCCCTGTCCCCCTACCCCCACCCACTTCCACCCCGCCCATCCGTCCTTCCTCTCTCGCCCTCTCCATCTCCCTCACCATCCCCTCCAGCTCCCTCACTCGCTCCCCCTGTTCCACCGCCTCTCCCTTTGCCTCCTCAAATCGCCTCCCCAGCACACCCACCTCTCTCACCATCTCCCCTAAACTCTCCTCTCGCGCCCGCACTTCCTCCTGCGCTGCTCGCAGTCTCGCACAGGTTTCCAGCCCAGCCTTCTCCATCCACCGTATCCTCGCATCTCACGCTGCCACCTGATCCTCTAAAGCCTCTGCCCTCTCCTCCTGCTCTCTCGCCCTCGCATCCTGCTCTGTCACTCTCCCCACTTGCTCCTGCAGTTTTTCCTCTAGTTCCGAATTGGTTTCTCTCGCTGCGGCCAGCTCAGAGTGCTTCTGCACCACGTCAGCATGCTTCTGCGCCACCTCAGCACAAACCCTCGCCAGCTCAGCACGGCACGCTGTCAACTCACCCTGCAGCAGCACCACATCACCCTGAAGCATCCCAACTCTCCTCTCTCTCTCCTCCGCTTCCGCCTTCCACCTCCCAGCCTCCTCCTCGCTCGCCCTCACTTCCCCTCTCAGCCTCCGCACCTCCTCCTCAATCTCCCTCACCACACCCTTCCCTCTTTCCACCTCCCCTCCCATCACCTCCACCTGCTGCTTCCGCGACTCACTCACCTCCCCCTCCAACACACCGTTCCGCACACTCTCTTCCCCCACACACCTCACACACCCCTCTCTCTCCTTCACCAACCCCTCCAGTTCTCTAACCTGCTTCCTCCGCTCTTCTACCTCTGCTCCTACCTCTATCAGCACCACCTGTTTCGACGTCTCCCTCACCTCTTCTGCTACCACCTCCTTCGTCTCCTCCACCTCTCTCGCTCTCGCCACCTCCTCTAGCTCCCTCACTCTCTCCTCCAGCCTCCCAACCTTGTCCTTTTCCACTAGCAGCCGCTCTTCTGCTTCCCTCATTGAAACGCCCGCCGTTTCCAACCTCCTCTCAAGCTCCTTCACCTTTTCCTCCTTCTCCCTCACACCCTCCTCCAACTCCCTCACTCTCCCCCCCTTCCGTTCCACCTCCTCCCTCACCTCCCTCTCGTTCTTCTCTGCCTGCCGCACTTCACTCTCCAACACCTCCATCCTTCCCTCTCTCTCACTCACTTTCTCCCTCTCCTCTTCCAACTGCGCCTCCACCACCCTCACTCTCTCCCTCACTTCCCTCACCCCCTCCTCCTCCTCTCTCAGCAATCTCTCCAGTACCTCTACTTGCGCCATCCTGTCCTCCTCATGCAACCCGTCTTTCTCCTCCTCCCGTGCCCTCTCCTCCTCGTTGATACCTCCCCCTCTTCCCATGTCCGCCTGCCTTTGCAGCAGCAGCACCAGGCGCGCCCACACTGCGTGCACGCACTGCTGCACCTCGCTCCGCCTGCCTGAAACCCATCGCACCTGCGCCTGCACCTGCTTTAACTCCGCCTCCACCCCTGCTAACACATGCGCCATGCCTCCGTCCTCGGCCCCATCACACTCCCCCTCACACTCCCCTTCACACTCTCCCTCACTCTCTCCCTCACACTCTCCCTTAGACTCCCCTTCGCACGTCCTCTCAAAGCCCCCGTCTACCTCCTCCTGAATCATTCCCAAGTCCTCTCCACCATGTTCCACCCGCTCTTCCCTCCCACGCCCATGGCTTGCACCAGCCTCCTCCTCTCCTCGCCCCCCCTCGCACACCACCTCTTTCCCACTCCCCACACTCGCCTCAACCACACACCCACATACTATCTCCACCACCTCATCCTCCTCCATCGGAAAAAACACGGTCGACAGAAGTTACATGAATCCTGCAGCAAAGCAGCAATGGCGTACCCTTTCTGTCACATGCTTGGGAGAGGGTGGAAGAGTTGCTTTGCGGTAGGTTTGGGTTCGACCTCAATCCGACAGAAAATCGTGCGACAAATCGCGGCCGCACATCTGCAGATGACTGAAAGCAACTTCGTTGCAACTCTGATTGTGAAAGCAAATCGAGGCCGCACATCGCGATGGTGTGATTGTGGTTCACGGTAGCTTTGGTTTTGTGTTGTTTCATCGTGTCCAACGTGGCCTGTTCAGATTCGATGGCCAAAACTTGATTGAACCAATCGCGCAATCTTAAAGTGCCGAATTTAAAGGTATTGATTTTGCTAACCACCTTTTTCCGATATTTATTTAGTGCCTAAGATTGATAGCCTAGAAATTAGTAACCAGCCTGTATGACCGTCAACATGGTAACATCCATTGGTTTCACGTAACGGGCGTTACATTGTTTCAAAAGTTACCATGTTAATAACACGGTTATATATACACCAATATATTATACACTATTTTTGTATCTCTTTTGGTTTACATTATAATTATATTATTGCACATAATTATTACTATAAATATCAATAACTGCAAATCCAATTAACGGGCGTCAAAACCTACACACCTACTTATTGCCAAATCTATCAATCCTCCACTCCATCATTGCTAATAAACACGCACGATTGCCCGCCGGCAAATTTCCACGCGTTGTGGGTAGCGTCCCACCAAGGTCCCCTCTCAGCGTTCCTGCACGCAATGCAGGCTCGAACCCAATCCCGGACTTTGATGTAATACCCATCAACAGCGGCTCGGTTGTCCTTGTAGCTCGGCTGCATACAAGTCTCGTTGATCTTCGTCTCGACCTGCATTTCAAGAGCAAACGCGCTGCATTAGCGTTACTATTGATAAGAACACAGGGCGTGCGAAATGGCATGAATGAACTCACCCCGCAGAGCCAGAAGGCAATGTGCTTGAGGAGGAGCACGATCGTGCAGTGCCCGTCACGGCTGAACGAGGCGATGATGCCTCGAACAAACTCATCGCATGCGAACGGAATGCCTTTCTTGTTCATGTGCCATGTCAACAGCATGAACGACCCGGTGACTGTTGTAAGAGGTGCACGGGATGGGGATGAGAGGTTTAGGAGGGTTTAGGGTTGGGGTCGGGAGGTGGGGGAGTGGAGAACGTTAGGTTGAGTTGGGTACAGGAAGGGCATTAAGATGCAGTGCCCGTCAAGGATATGGCAGATGCATTTCTGAGGATTAGGGGGGAAGAGGAGATGTCAGTGTCACGATGGACTGATGTTTTATGCCGTGCCTTGCAGTGGCTCTGCCAGGCAGAGAGTTAAGGCAGGGGAGAGACGGAGATGGGGGGAGAGGAGCTGGTTAGGGGCTGCCGTGCCTTGCAGTGGCTCTGCCAGGCAGAGAGTAAGGCAGGGGAGAGACGGAGATGAGGGGAGAGGAGCTGGTTAGGGGCTGCCGTTCCTTGCAGTGGCTCTGCCAGGCAGAGAGTAAGGCAGGGGAGAGACGGAGATGAGGGGAGAGGAGCTGGTTAGGGGCTGCCGTGCCTTGCAGTGGCTCTGCCAGGCAGAGAGTAAGGCGGGGGAGAGACGGAGATGGGGGGAGAGGAGCTGTTTAGGGGCTGCCGTGCCTTGCAGTGGCTCTGCCAGGCAGAGAGTAAGGCAGGGGCGAGACGGAGATGGGGGGAGAGGAGCTGGTTAGGGGCTGCCGTTCCTTGCAGTGGCTCTGCCAGGCAGAGAGTAAGGCAGGGGAGAGACGGAGATGAGGGGAGAGGAGCTGGTTAGGGGCTGCCGTGCCTTGCAGTGGCTCTGCCAGGCAGAGAGTAAGGCAGGGGAGAGACGGAGATGAGGGGAGAGGAGCTGGTTAGGGGCTGCCGTTCCTTGCAGTGGCTCTGCCAGGCAGAGAGTAAGGCAGGGGAGAGACGGAGATGAGGGGAGAGGAGCTGGTTAGGGGCTGCCGTTCCTTGCAGTGGCTCTGCCAGGCAGAGAGTAAGGCAGGGGAGAGACGGAGATGAGGGGAGAGGAGCTGGTTAGGGGCTGCCGTGCCTTGCAGTGGCTCTGCCAGGCAGAGAGTAAGGCGGGGGAGAGACGGAGATGGGGGGAGAGGAGCTGGTTAGGGGCTGCCGTGCCTTGCAGTGGCTCTGCCAGGCAGAGAGTAAGGCAGGGGCGAGACGGAGATGGGGGGAGAGGAGCTGGTTAGGGGCTGCCGTTCCTTGCAGTGGCTCTGCCAGGCAGAGAGTAAGGCAGGGGAGAGACGGAGATGAGGGGAGAGGAGCTGGTTAGGGGCTGCCGTGCCTTGCAGTGGCTCTGCCAGGCAGAGAGTAAGGCAGGGGAGAGACGGAGATGAGGGGAGAGGAGCTGGTTAGGGGCTGCCGTTCCTTGCAGTGGCTCTGCCAGGCAGAGAGTAAGGCAGGGGAGAGACGGAGATGAGGGGAGAGGAGCTGGTTAGGGGCTGCCGTGCCTTGCAGTGGCTCTGCCAGGCAGAGAGTAAGGCGGGGGAGAGACGGAGATGGGGGGAGAGGAGCTGGTTAGGGGCTGCCGTGCCTTGCAGTGGCTCTGCCAGGCAGAGAGTAAGGCAGGGGCGAGACGGAGATGGGGGGAGAGGAGCTGGTTAGGGGCTGCCGTGCCTTGCAGTGGCTCTGCCAGGCAGAGAGTAAGGCAGGGGAGAGACGGTGATGAGGGGAGAGGAGCTGGTTAGGGGCTGCCGTGCCTTGCAGTGGCTCTGCCAGGCAGAGAGTAAGGCAGGGGAGAGACGGAGATGAGGGGAGAGGAGCTGGTTAGGGGCTGCCGTTCCTTGCAGTGGCTCTGCCAGGCAGAGAGTAAGGCGGGGGAGAGACGGAGATGGGGGGAGAGGAGCTGGTTAGGGGCTGCCGTTCCTTGCAGTGGCTCTGCCAGGCAGAGAGTAAGGCAGGGGAGAGACGGAGATGAGGGGAGAGGAGCTGGTTAGGGGCTGCCGTGCCTTGCAGTGGCTCTGCCAGGCAGAGAGTAAGGCGGGGGAGAGACGGAGATGGGGGGAGAGGAGCTGGTTAGGGGCTGCCGTGCCTTGCAGTGGCTCTGCCAGGCAGAGAGTAAGGCAGGGGCGAGACGGAGATGGGGGGAGAGGAGCTGGTTAGGGGCTGCCGTGCCTTGCAGTGGCTCTGCCAGGCAGAGAGTAAGGCAGGGGAGAGACGGTGATGAGGGGAGAGGAGCTGGTTAGGGGCTGCCGTGCCTTGCAGTGGCTCTCCCAGGCAGAGAGTAAGGCAGGGGAGAGACGGAGATGGGGGGAGAGGAGCTGGTTAGGGGCTGCCGTTCCTTGCAGTGGCTCTGCCAGGCAGAGAGTAAGGCAGGGGCGAGACGGAGATGGGGGGAGAGGAGCTGGTTAGGGGCTGCCGTGCCTTGCAGTGGCTCTGCCAGGCAGAGAGTAAGGCAGGGGAGAGACGGAGATGAGGGGAGAGGAGCTGGTTAGGGGCTGCCGTGCCTTGCAGTGGCTCTGCCAGGCAGAGAGTAAGGCAGGGGAGAGACGGAGATGGGGGGAGAGGAGCTGGTTAGGGGCTGCCGTTCCTTGCAGTGGCTCTGCCAGGCAGAGAGTAAGGCAGGGGAGAGACGGAGATGAGGGGAGAGGAGCTGGTTAGGGGCTGCCGTGCCTTGCAGTGGCTCTGCCAGGCAGAGAGTAAGGCAGGGGAGAGACGGAGATGAGGGGAGAGGAGCTGGTTAGGGGCTGCCGTGCCTTGCAGTGGCTCTGCCAGGCAGAGAGTAAGGCAGGGGGGAGACGGTGATGAGGGGAGAGGAGCTGGTTAGGGGCTGCCGTGCCTTGCAGTGGCTCTGCCAGGCAGAGAGTAAGGCAGGGGAGAGACGGAGATGGGGGGAGAGGAGCTGGTTAGGGGCTGCCGTTCCTTGCAGTGGCTCTGCCAGGCAGAGAGTAAGGCAGGGGCGAGACGGAGATGGAGGGAGAGGAGCTGGTTAGGGGCTTCCGTGCCTTGCAGTGGCTCTGCCAGGCAGAGAGTAAGGCAGGGGAGAGACGGAGATGAGGGGAGAGGAGCTGGTTAGGGGCTGCCGTGCCTTGCAGTGGCTCTGCCAGGCAGAGAGTAAGGCAGGGGAGAGACGGAGATGGGGGGAGAGGAGCTGGTTAGGGGCTGCCGTTCCTTGCAGTGGCTCTGCCAGGCAGAGAGTAAGGCAGGGGAGAGACGGAGATGAGGGGAGAGGAGCTGGTTAGGGGCTGCCGTGCCTTGCAGTGGCTCTGCCAGGCAGAGAGTAAGGCAGGGGAGAGACGGAGATGAGGGGAGAGGAGCTGGTTAGGGGCTGCCGTGCCTTGCAGTGGCTCTGCCATGCAGAGAGTAAGGCAGGGGAGAGACGGAGATGAGGGGAGAGGAGCTGGTTAGGGGCTGCCGTGCCTTGCAGTGGATCTGCCAGGCAGAGAGAAAGGCAGGGGAGAGACGGAGATGAGGGGAGAGGAGCTGGTTAGGGGCTGCCGTGCCTTGCAGTGGCTCTGCCAGGCAGAGAGTAAGGCAGGGGAGAGACGGAGATGAGGGGAGAGGAGCTGGTTAGGGGCTGCCGTGCCTTGCAGTGGCTCTGCCAGGCAGAGAGTAAGGCAGGGGAGAGACGGAGATGGGGGGAGAGGAGCTGGTTAGGGGCCGCCGTTCCTTGCAGTGGCTCTGCCAGGCAGAGAGTAAGGCAGGGGAGAGACGGAGATGAGGGGAGAGGAGCTGGTTAGGGGCTGCCGTGCCTTGCAGTGGCTCTGCCAGGCAGAGAGTAAGGCAGGGGAGAGACGGAGATGGGGGGAGAGGAGCTGGTTAGGGGCTGCCGTGCCTTGCAGTGGCTCTGCCAGGCAGAGAGTAAGGCAGGGGCGAGACGGAGATGGGGGGAGAGGAGCTGGTTAGGGGCTGCTGTGCCTTGCAGTGGCTCTGCCAGGCAGAGAGTAAGGCAGGGGAGAGACGGAGATGGGGGGATGGCCTTGCTACCTTGCTACAGTGATTACACAATGGCAGTTACCTGGTTTGAAGACAGACAGGAACTTGGAGATGGCGTTGCTTCCGTGCACCTGCTGGCGCCTGTCTGGGCGCGATATGCAAAGGTTGAAGGAGTTGATCACCGAGACCCGGCCAGATGTCAAGAGTTCGTGCCTGAAAGCCTGGAGCCTGTCGCGGATGTACCCCCGCCTGTCTAAGTCGAACTGGTACACGTGCCGCAGGTTCCACTTCTGTGCTGTCGTCGTGTAACCCATCGCCAACTCCATGGCGCCCAGGATAATGCACCGCGCCGGCCAAAAATCGACTCTGTTGTTTGGGGAACGGAAAATGATAATATCCAATGTGTCGTCCATGACAAGCTGTGAGGAAGAGGGGGGGGGGGGGGGCGCGTGGTGGAGGGAGGAATCGTGGTTAAGCGTAGTGTGGAAAGATTGGCGGGTATGCACGTCAACGGGGATGACTATAAAGGGGTAATGCACAACTAGGAGTACGCAGGACGGAGACAAATAGGGCGGACAGAGGGTACTGCACACTGAAAGAGCATTGTTAATGGGAACAGGATGGACCTCAACTTACAGTTAGACCATGTGGGAGAGGTGGTACCGACGTCATTGCCGTCGCGAGTGTCTGAGAAAACTCATGAAACTCTGGAGCCACGATGTCTTGGCTCAATGGCACCTTCGTCTTGTACGCGACAGCAATAGCAGCTCCCATGGCTTGTTGTGTTGTCAGGTAGCGTGGTGTCTCCGAATCGCTCGAAGGGCGGGTGGAGGAGGAGGGAACTTGGCGCAGAGTCTCAACCTGGTTCTTCAGCTCCAGATTTTCCCGTTGCAGAGATCGAACAAGGGCTGACATGGAATCAAACTCCTCTCTGCTCACTGGAACTCCAGCAGCGCGCGGTGCCAGTATGTCCAGGGCGTCGTCATCAGAGCCATCATCAGGCTCGTCCATGGGTCCTACGTCATCTCCACCTGTTGGGATACTCGGGATGACGGGCGTAGGTGGAATGGCACCTGCAACGGCCAGAGGCGTAGCAGGGCTCACAGTCCCTGGACCGGTGGAATGAGGCTGTTGCTCGTTGAGGGCTTGTGGGGACACGTCGTCAGGAAGAGCACCAACGTCGTTTGAGTCGCAACGAGTGAAATCATACTCATCTGCGCGGTGGGTACATGGGTCGGGAATAGATTGACTGCCAGGGTTCGAAGCCCAGAGTATCTCGCCGTGTGTGACGTTCGCTGGTGCTGGTGGAGCCCACATGTGCGAGGGATTGGCTGGGGGGAAAGGAGCATAGGGGTGAACAAGGGGGGGAGAGTACTGCCACTGTCCCGGGTATGTAGCATCTGCAGTAGCAGGTGCAACTGGCGTTCGTAGCAGGGAGCCGAATGTGGCGGATGTGGGTGAGTTGTTTGGTGTGCTTATCCACTGCTGCTGCTGCTGCTGCTGCATGTCGTGTGGAAGGTTTGCCGCCGCATAAGCGTTGGGTGCAGCATTGGCAGGCGGTGGTGCCTGAGCGAGGAGTGCAGCCATGGTCGTCGGCGTAGCGGAAGGCTGTTGCTGCTGCATCCCCGACTGGTGCTGATGCTGCTGCGACTGGTGCTGATGCTGCTGCGACTGGTGCTGATGCTTCTGCGACTGGTGCTGATGCTGCTGCTGTGACTGGTGCTGCTGTTGCTGCAGGGCGAACGCGGCTCTTGCCCCCGCAGATGCCGCCGGCGAAGCATTGGCGGGCGGGATTTGATGCGCGAGGAGCGGAGCTTGGGCAGTAGGGTCCGCGGAAGGCTGCTGTTGCTGCTGCTGCGACTGGTGCTGCTGCAGCTGCGACTGGTGCTGATGCTGCTGCGTCTGCTGCTGCTGTTGCTGCGGGGCGAACGCGGCTCTTGCCCCCGCAGATGCCGCCGGCGAAGCATTGGCGGGCGGGATTTGATGCGCGAGGAGCGGAGCTTGGGCAGTAGGGTCCGCGGAAGGCTGCTGCTGCTGCTGCTGCGACTGGTGCTGCTGCAGCTGCGACTGGTGCTGATGCTGCTGCGGTGACTGGTGCTGCTGTTGCTGCGGGGCGAACGCGGCTCTTGCCCCCGCAGATGCCGCCGGCGAAGCATTGGCAGGCGGGATTTGATGCGCGAGGAGCGGAGCTTGGGCAGTAGGGTCCGCGGAAGGCTGTTGCTGCTGCTGCTGCGACTGGTGCTGCTGCTGCTGCGACTGGTGCTGCTGCAGCTGCGACTGGTGCTGATGCTGCTGCGACTGCTGCTGCTGTTGCTGCGGGGCGAACGCGGCTCTTGCCCCCGCAGATGCCGCCGGCGAAGCATTGGCGGGTGGGATTTGATGCGCGAGGAGCGGAGCTTGGGCAGTAGGGTCCGCGGAAGGCTGCTGCTGCTGCTGCTGCTGCGGCTGCTGCTGATGCTGCTGCGACTGCTGCTGATGCTGCTGCGTCTGCTGCTGCTGTTGCTGCGGGGCGAACGCGGCTCTTGCCCCCGCAGATGCCGCCGGCGAAGCATTGGCGGGCGGGATTTGATGCGCGAGGAGCGGAGCTTGGGCAGTAGGGTCCGCGGAAGGCTGCAGCTGCTGCTGCGGCGGCTACTGCTGATGCTGCTGCGACTGCTGCTGATGCTGCTGCGTCTGCTGCTGCTGTTGCTGCGGGGCGAACGCGGCTCTTGCCCCCGCAGATGCCGCCGGCGAAGCATTGGCGGGCGGGATTTGATGCGCGAGGAGCGGAGCTTGGGCAGTAGGGTCCGCGGAAGGCTGTTGCTGCGGCATCTGCGGCTGCTGATGCTGCTGCGACTGCTGCTGCTGTTGCTGCGGGGCGAACGCGGCTCTTGCCCCCGCAGATGCCGCCGGCGAAGCATTGGCGGGCGGGATTTGATGCGCGAGGAGCGGAGCTTGGGCAGTAGGGTCCGCGGAAGGCTGCTGCTGCTGCATCTTTGGCTGCTGCTGATGCTGCTGCGGGGCGAACGCGGCTCTTGCCCCCGCAAATGCCGCCGGCGAAGCATTGGCGGGCGGGATTCGATGCGCGAAGAGCGGAGCTTGGGCAGTAGGGTCGAGCGGAGCTTGCTGCGACTGCTGCTGCTGTTGCTGCGGGGCGAACGCGGAAGGCTGTTGCTGCTGCATCTGCTGCTGCTGAGGCTGCTGCTGCGACTGGTGCTGCTGCTGCTGTTGTTGCTGTTGCCGTTGAGACTGCTGCTGCGTTGGCATGGCGAAGGCTGCTTTTGCTCCCGCAAATGCCGCCGGCGCAGCATTAGACTGCTGCTGCTGCATCTGCTGTTGCTGCGTTTGCTGATGCCGCTGCTGCTGCTTCTGGTGCTGCTGCGTTCGCTGCGTTTGCTGCTTCTTCTGTTGCTTGGCGAGTGCAGCAAGAGCACCCACAGACGCCGCAGGGTTTGCAGTGGCAGTCGCATGTTGTTGAGCGATGAGTGCAGCCTTAGCCTGCGCAGCGGCAGCAGCTTGCTGACGTCGAGTCGAACACCCCGTCGTCGCGGGAGCTGGAGGAGCCGCTTGTCCGAGATTGAGCGACGTCGGTATTATAGGCGCGTGACCGCTAGTGTCGGTTGTGAGTGGGTAGACGTTGCGGGGTGTAGCCTCTTGCATGACATTGTCCAGAGAGCGGTAACCCCTGGAGCCTGCATACGCCCAAATAAAAGTGGAGAGAACATGAGTGCCGTTGTGAATATGGGTTCCAGCCGAGTGAAGTTTGGAAACTCGGTTGATACGGTTAAGAAAGAAAACTAACCTTCAGGAACCGGCGATTTAGGTCTTTTAGCCGATCCGCGACCACCTCGTCCGCCTCTGTTGCCCTTAGTTCTGACGCCACGACCGCCATTTGTCGCAGTATCTATCGTCAGGCCGTCAGTGACGCTGACGGTCATCGCGCGCTGCTTAACCGTCTGATGGGTCTATCTCGTTTCTTTGAGAAATTATGACACACCTATCATGCAAGCAGCTTCGCGAACAAGGGAACAAAGTGGTAGACGGAACTTAGAAGGCTCTATCGACGGAACAATGTGACCTACACAACCAAAAACTGACAAGTCAGGGTCCTGACACTGAAGACGCTTTGAACACCAACAGAACGCGTGAGAGAGTTGGCGAGGTACAGAACTAGGGCAAGATAATGTTGTGAATATTGTTTGTCTGTGTGACTAAGGCGATGATGACTATGCTGCGGGTGGGTGGGTGAGATTTGGATCCACGGCTTGTGGAGCGCAGGTGACAAAGGAACTTCGTGCGTGAAATCCAATGATTGGCAAAAGCGTATGCATCTGACGGTCGACATGAAAACCGATTGTGCGCTGCGCACCGCACTCAACGTTCATCTCTGAAAATATGGAAGCCACTGCCCTCCACTGCCTAGAATGTGGAAGCTGTAAACATGGCAGCCAATGTTCAACCACTCATCACCACTAAGAAATGAATCAGCCCTGTTTGTGAGAGATGAATATGTTTAAAGAAGATAAATATTGAGACAGTTTGGCTAAGTCACCTTTGCCCGTGCTTTGTGATCTGTCTGAAAGCTTGCTTATCGTATGTGATTTGTTAGATGCACGGTCATGTGTTTTGTTTGATGCCCAAAAACTGAACTTCAAATGATTTACCGGCTCACACGCCCAGATGCAACAATAACGTTCATGCACACATATCCTTGCATTCTGTGACCCATAAATATATTTTGTTTACTATCCAGCATTCCCACAAGTTCCTTTACAATGTAGGGTGCTGTTGGTATTTTTGCATGATTCCACTATTTTTGTCACATTTGGCCCAATAGGGGTTGCTCTCAACACTTGCTAGCTCATTCTCTGGCTATCACATACGTGCGTTACTTTCAAACGGTTTATTTTTTGGTTTAAGACATCTAGGCTGGTGCTATCAACTGTTGGGCTGAAAAAGCCCTTAGGATCTTGGCGAGGAGTGAAACGTCAAGGCATGCGTCATGGGTACAAGAACAGCACCATTGCACTTGATGTTATGGCATGGATAACCATGCTAGACTGATGGGGAAGGCCTGAATTCTTTACCACCACCTACTATCCATGCCATGAGCACCCCATATGAGTTTCAGAGCTATCAGAGAAGGGTAGCATAGTGGCGAGGAGTGAAGCGTCAAGGCATGCGTCGTGGGTAGAAAACCAGCACCATTGCACTTGATGTTATGGCATGGATAACCATGCTAGACTGATGGGGAAGGCCTGAATTCTTTACCACCACCTACTATCCATGCCATGAGCACCCCATATGAGTTTCGGGCTATCAGAGAAGGGTAGCATAGTGGTGAGGAGTGAAGCGTCAAGGCATGCGTCGTGGGTAGAAAACCAGCACCATTGCACTTGATGTTATGGCATGGATAACCATGCTAGGCTGACGGGGAAGGCCTGAATTCTTTACCACCACCTACTATCCATGCCATGAGCACCCCATATGAGTTTCAGAGCTATCAGAGAAGGGTAGCATGGTGGCGAGAAGTGAAGCGTCAAGGCATGCGTCGTGGGTAGAAAACCAGCACCATAGCACTTGATGTTATGGCATGGATAACCATGCTAGACTGATGGGGAAGGCCTGAATTCTTTACCACCACCTACTATCCATGCCATGAGCACCCCATATGAGTTTCAGAGCTATCAGAGAAGGGTAGCATAGTGGCGAGGTGTGAAGCGTCAAGGCATGCGTCGTGGGTAGAAAACCAGCACCATTGCACTTGATGTTATGGCATGGATAACCATGCTAGACTGACGGGGAAGGCCTGAATTCTTTACCACCACCTACTATCCATGCCATGAGCACCCCATATGAGTTTCAGAGCTATCAGAGAAGGGTAGCATGGTGGCGAGAAGTGAAGCGTCAAGGCATGCGTCGTGGGTAGAAAACCAGCACCATAGCACTTGTTGTTATGGCATGGATAACCATGCTAGACTGATGGGGAAGGCCTGAATTCTTTACCACCACCGACTATCCATGCCATGAGCACCCCATATGAGTTTCAGAGCTATCAGAGAAGGGTAGCATAGTGGCGAGGAGTGAAGCGTCAAGGCATGCGTCGTGGGTAGAAAACCAGCACCATTGCACTTGATGTTATGGCATGGATAACCATGCTAGACTGATGGGGAAGGCCTGAATTCTTTACCACCACCTACTATCCATGCCATGAGCACCCCATATGAGTTTCAGAGCTATCAGAGAAGGTTAGCATGGTGGCGAGAAGTGAAGCGTCAAGGCATGCGTCGTGGGTAGAAAACCAGCACCACTTAATATCCATGCGATGAGCACACCATGCGAGTTTCACAGCCAATTCACTATGTTATTTTCAATCAATGGATTGCATTTCTAAGTGTTAGAGCAATTATGTATTCCAACCAATAATCTCTGTAACTCTTGGAATATATATTGCAGAGCCAGCGTGTCATTCAATCGTGCATTTTCTTGGCGAATCTGTAAGTGTAACATGATTGGTTCATTTCTGACTTATCCTTCCACGAGATCGCCCATAACTTGATGAGTCAACGTGTCCAGTAAGGACGCTCCGACAATGTTTGGTCGAATCAGTCTACATCTTTTTGTTACTTGGTAATGAACGATTCCAGAAGGTTCGTATGTGTTGTGCTTGTTTACAGTGCGTTTGCGGGCTGATCTGGGTGATGGGTCGACACCCGTACCGCGTCCATACTTTGAAATGAAGCAGTTCGTGGCTACCAATTCAACCCAACCGTCACCCATTAAACCCTTCCACGAACAGCTCCTACTTCTACTTCACCCGACTACCAGTCAGCACCACATGCTTCTGTTTCGACTAGTCTGTCTTTGCTCCTATGGCAGACATACCGGGCAATCACGTGCACAACTATAGAGCGCGCCTAGCAGACGTAGTTGACGGCGCTCAGCAAGATTGGTCTGCCTGGCCTGGTTCGCAACGTGAGCTAGACGACATAATTGCGGCTGCTGAGTCTAAACACCTATCACAGCTCAGAGATCCGCGGTTCATAGATGCTATGTACGTAGATGTGGTTCAGGCTGATGCAGATGAGCTGCGCGATTGGACTAACGTCGCTGCCCGCATTATTAAAGAGATGGCTGAAGACGATGATTCGCCAATAACATCGGAATCGGCTTTGACCGAATATCTCAAACAGCGCGAAAAGGCATATTTAGGCGTCAGAAAGAAAGGGCTGCTCGAGTGGATCAGCAACTAGCCGATCTCTGGAAGGAACGGTCGGACTTGGTGCTCGCTGAGATTAGCGAGGCGGTACGTGCTCGTCATGCCGTAGTAAATGAGCTGAAGTGATGGGTTTTTACTATCTCCATATTCAATTAACTAGTTATGTGTGTTATTCGTAGCTGCCACTGTGTGTAGTAAGCATGACATTGCTCATTATCTGTCTGCCGTGTGATTCCACTTATCATTGTGATTCCAGAGTATGATTCCACTTATTATTGTGTGTTGTTTTGACAGGCTGGGTTGTGCATGCATTGTGTCATGCTCTAACTTGGAGACCATAGTTAAAACAGGAATGAATACCATAACTGAATACACCAGTAATTTATTTGAGTTGCCATCAATAGTACGTAAATTGAAGTGTCATCTAACATCCAGCCTGAACCAGTTGGTGCAACCACATCGACAACATTTGCCAGAGTCATCACGTTAGTTGTACTATTTTACAAATGCATATTACAACCATGTTGGATTTATAAGATTTGTATGTACCATTAATACATGCTTCCCTTAACAATACAGTTCAGCATATTCCTGGTCCAGTTGAGTTTCGTGTTTTGAATCTGTACCCCATACAAGCCAGATGAACCCACTGGCACTATGTCGCGACATTTGCGACTCGATGCCACGGTACTGAATGTCACCCAGGCATGATGAGTCTGCTTCCATCGTTTTCCAGCCCCGACACTAAACTAAAGCTAAACCAGAAGCGGCCATTCAAACACACACACTCACACACTCTGAGCTTCACTCACGCACCAATGCGCTGCGCCCGCACTTCATGCTGGTGAATACTTGCAACATGGTAGTGCCTTTGTGAGGCAAATTAGTAGTCGTCACTCTCTGGGTTGCCTCGGTGAGTGGTCTTCGTGCCTGATTTTTTTATTTTTTTTATAAACGGATGGCAATTCCGTTGGGTTACAGTCATGCCTGCATATGACTCTCGCATCCGCCGTCACATTTGTTCTAATGTCCGGGTTGTGTGGACAGACCATGGCGCAGTACCAGTGTGGATGCACTGCTACTTTCTTCTCCGAATCCGCACTCGTGAATCATGAACGTGGAATAACGTCGTGTCCTCACAAAAGGCCTCGCCACGACCATGGTGCTATTCCGAGACCTGGAATGCTCGTCGAACCTGCAGCAGCAGTTGCTCCTGTGCTCCCACCACCGATCGATCGCCCTTCCGCACCGCCATGTGAAGATAACATTGGTGCACCACCGATTTATGTCGATAGACCCGTCCACGATGCGGATGGTCGCGCCGATTTTAACCCGTTTTTTGCCGATATGGAGGAGACGCTATCGCATCGTAGGTTCGACACACAAAGGGAAACTTTCAGGTTCTTATCAATGTGCAAGAAAGGCGCCGGCATGTTTGGTAGTGACATTGATTTTTTCTTCAAGCTAATCAAAGATCCAGACTTTTGCCTGGAAGAGTTGCGCACTTGGAATGGTAAACACGCAGTTGACAAATACGCGTTGGAGAAGTTGGGAATTCAGAAAAACAACTTCGAGACTGCAGAAATCCGCGTGGATGATTGGCCTACCGTGTCCAAACTCAAGTACATTGACCCCATCGAGGCAAGTTTACACCGGGTGCTACGTTGCGTCAAGCGCTGAGTCTACCCACTTGATGTTAATCTTATATGACCTTTCTCTCAACTCCGCACCGCAGGCTTTGCTCCGAATGTGGCGTGACCCTAAAAACGCGGATGGGTTCGTCCACCGTGCGGCACCAATTATGGAGAACAACGAGCGGGTTTACGGGCCTGCACAGACAGGCACATTTTGGGAGGAAGCGCAGGTACGCTAAAGACAGCAGATGGTGAGAGCCTGGAAAGTGATGGTGAGTGGCACCAAAGTGATGGTGAGTGGCCGGAAAGTGATGGTGAGTGGCTGGAAAGTGAAGGTGAGTGGCTGGGAAAGCATGGTGAGTGGCTGAAAACGGATGGTGAGTGGCAGGGATAGGATGGAGAGTGGCTGGAAACGGAGGGTGAGTGGCAGGAAAGGGATGGTGAGTGGCTGAAAATGATGGTGAGTGGCAGGGAAAGCATGGTGAGTGGCTGGAATGGGAGGGTGAGTGGCAGGGATAGGTATGGTGAGAGCTGCAAGGAATGGTGAGAGCTGCAAGGAATGGTGAGAACAGCCAGGAATGGTGAGAGCTGCAAGGAATGGTGAGAGCTGCAAGGAATGGTGAGAGCTGCAAGGAATGGTGAGATCTGCAAGGAATGGTGAGAGGTGCAAGGAATGGTGAGAGCAGCAAGGAATGGTGAGAGCTGCAAGGAATGGTGAGAGCTGCAAGGAATGGTGAGATCTGCAAGGAATGGTGAGAGCTGAAAGGAATGGTGAAAGCTGCAAGGGTTGGTGAGATCTGCAAGGAATGGTGAGAGCTGAAAGGAATGGTGAAAGCTGCAAGGGTTGGTGAGAGCTGCAAGGAATGGTGAGAACAGCAAGGAATGGTGAGAGCTGCAAGGAATGGTGAGAGCTGCAAGGAATGGTGAGAGCTGCAAGGAATGGTGAGAGCTGCAAGGGTTGGTGAGAGGTGCAAGGAATGGTGAGAGCAGCAAGGAATGGTGAGAGCTGCAAGGAATGGTGAGAGCTGCAAGGAATGGTAAGATCTGCAAGGAATGGTGAGAGCTGAAAGGAATGGTGAAAGCTGCAAGGGTTGGTGAGAGCTGCAAGGAATGGTGAGAACAGCAAGGAATGGTGAGAGCTGCAAGGAATGGTGAGAGCAGCAAGGAATGGTGAGAGCTGCAAGGAATGGTGAGAGCTGCAAGGAATGGTGAGAGCAGCAAGGAATGGTGAGAGCTGCAAGGAATGGTGAGAGCTGCAAGGAATGGTGAGAGCTGCAAGGTATGGTGAGAGCTGCAAGGAATGGTGAGAGCAGCAAGGAATGGTGAGTGGCAGGGATAGGATGGAGAGTGGCTGGAAACGGATGGTGAGTTGCAGGAAAGGGATGGTTAGTGGCTGGAAATGATGGTGAGTGGCAGGGAAAGCATGGTGAGTGGCAGGTAAAGCAAATGCTTTGTGCACATTTTTCCGTACAACCCCTTGTTGTGAACTGCAGGTTGGATTGTCTCCGGAGGAGCTGGTGTGTCCGCTCATACTTTCCAGTGACGAGACGCTCCTCAGTGGAAACGAACGCCTGAAGGCGTGGGCGTTCTACTTGACATGCACCAACATCCCTCTCCATCTCCGCTGGAAGGATCATGGGAGAGTTTTGATCGCGCTAATCCCGATCGCGGACTCTGACATGGAACCATTTCAAAAAGTGGAGCTCTTCCAAAAGGCGCAGCACATTGTACTCGAGTCAGTGATTGCAGCTTGCCAAAGGTATGCCTCGCCAACTTGCAATCATATATGCCGTGAGTTGTTGCCATGTGTCATAATCAGCATCGATACATTGACAACGCCCGTGCTCACCATGCTTCGTTTCTCATCGAGTATGTATCTGCACATGTCTTTTTTCTGCAGCTCTCTTCACATGACAGATCCACTCGGGAACACTTTCACCGTGTGGCCGAAGTTGTACTCGTATGTGACCGACTACCCAGAGGGATCACGCGTCACGTGCACAATGCAACATGCATCCGAGAGACCATGCTCACAATGTTATGTTCACAAGAACAACCTCGACAACATGGACCCGACACTAAACCAACCACGGGATGTGAAGACGCAGACTTGGTTGTCCAATCATCCCGACAAAAAAACACGAGAGGACTATTCCACACACCAATCGCCAGTGAGTTGCACCAGCACACAGTGCTTGATGGATGAGCTGAATGGTGCTGCGCCCAAGAGCAGAGAGTGCTTGATGGATGGGGATAGTGGTGCGGCGCACAAGGGCAGCAAGTGTTTGATGGGTGGGTTGAGTGGTGCTGTGCACAATGGCAGTGTTGGGTGGGGTGGGTAGTGCTCTGCACAAGGGCCTAGAGTGCTTGATCGGTGAGGTGAGAGGTGCTGCGAATAAGGGCAGAGAGTACGTGATGTGTGAGGTGAGTGGTGCTATGCACAAGGGCAGAGAGTGCGTGATGTGTGAGGTGAGTGGTGCTATGCACAAGGGCAGAGAGTGCGTGATGGGTGCGGTCTATGCTTCTGTGAAAGCCTTCACCTTACTCAAGTGTCTAAAGTCCCCTGCATACTACCCTTAACCTTATACTCTCCACTACCCCCACTGCGCCATCTCTTAACCCATGCAGTGTGTGTTATGGAAATTCCCTCGAGAATCCGAGAATTCCCCCGACAAGCCGTGGGCAAATCCATATCTTGCTGTCTTGCCTGATGTCTTGCATGCAATTCTAATCGGCGTGTGGGTTTACATTCTGGAGTGTGTGGTGAAGGGGGAGAACGTAGCTGAGATGAACAGGTAATTTTACTTCCGTGTACAGTAACCCTTGCATGGTTGGCATATCTTCTAATGTCACATGTTTCTCTTGTGCCTTTGCTCAATCGCAGGAGACTCGGAGTTATGCACAAAGATGAGAGGTTCGCAGGGATGAAACTTCCCGCCGATGGCCGTTATTTCAAGCCTGGGGCAAACTATTCGGCTGCCGAGCATGCAAGCATGATTAGTGTGAGTATCTTCATTTTGCTCCTTGGAAGTTTTCGAATGTAGTTCACTAAGCTCCGTGCGGACACATGGCTTAAAACCATCCATCTGAATTCTCTACACAATGTGTTGACCCAACCTCTTCTACGCACAGGTGGTGTTGCTAATCATGGAAGGGCTGCAAATACCAAACGTAAAAATGGCCGTGCTGCGGACGTTCGTGAAATGGTACCACAACTATTTCTGTGTGACGAAGTACACGGAGACCATGTTGCGGCAGTATCTCACAGACACTGCAGAGTGAGTGGTCCCCTTATACCCTTGTATCCGTTTGTCTGCATTGTTGTGTCCCCCCTACGCTCCCTCTGTCCAAAGTTGCACTAACATGAGCGATTTCTACTTTCAGGCTTGTGCGGCTGCTGAAGACAAATCTACCACGACCCGGATTTGGGTGGCGTATTGTGAAAATTCACGCATCGTACACTTTCCAGATGCGATTCGTAGAAGTGGCATAGTGGCTGAATTTTCAACAGCGCTATTTGAGCATGCCCACTCCTCCACCTGCAAGCGTGTTTTCCGGGCATCCAACTACCGAGACTACGAGGAGGCAATCATGCGCATGATCATCGTCCGTTCGGTCATTCAACACATGCCTACAGCTCTTGGCGAGAAGAACCATCGCTTGACTGCTTTGATGAAGGTATGACGTGATGAGCTTACAATCTATTTACAGGCCATTTACGCCCACTCGTGTACATGGCCTCTCATTCCCCACCAGCCATGCTCTAACACCACCATGCCATCCCACACACACCACCATGCCATCCCACACACACCCACAGACCAGCCCACCCACACACACACATATCATCCATCACACACCCACAGTCCAGCCCACCTACACCCACATGTCATCCCTCACACACCCACAGTCCAGCCCACCCACACACACATTTCATCCCACACCCACCCATAGTACAGCCCACCCACACCCACATGTCATCCCACATGCTCCCACATGCCATCCCACACACACCCACATGCCATCCCACACACACCCACATGCCATCCCACCCACACACACATGTCATCCCTCACACACCCACAGTCCAGCCCACCCACACACACATGCCATCCCACACACACCCACAGTCCAGCCCACCCACACCCACATATCATCCATCACACACCCACAGTCCGGCCCACCCACACCCACATAGTATACCTCACACACCCACAGTCCAGCCCACCCACACACACATGTCAACCCACACACACCCACAGTCCAGCCCACCCACACACACATGTCATCCCACACACACCCACAGTACAGCCCACCCACACCCACATGTCATCCCACATGCTCCCACATGCCATCCCACACACACCCACATGCCATCCCACACACACCCACATGCCATCCCACCCACACACACATGTCATCCCTCACACACCCACAGTCCAGCCCACCAACACACACATGCCATCCCACACACACCCACAGTCCAGCCCACCCACACCCACATATCATCCATCACACACCCACAGTCCGGCCCACCCACACCCACAGAGTATACCTCACACACCCACAGTCCAGCCCACCCAGACACACATGTCAACCCACACACACCCACACTCCAGCCCACCCACACACACATGTCATCCCACACACACCCACAGTACAGCCCACCCACACCCACATGTCATCCCACATGCTCCCACATGCCATCCCACACACACCCACATGCCATCCCACACACACCCACAGTCCAGCCCACCCACACCCACATAGTATACCTCACACACCCACAGTCCAGCCCACCCACACACACATGTCAACCCACACACACCCACAGTCCTTCCCACCCACACACACATGTCAACCCACACACACCCACAGTCCAGCCCACCCACACACACATGTCAACCCACACACACCCACACTCCAGCCCACCCACACACACATGCCATCCCACACACACCCACAGTCCGGCCCACCCACACCCACATAGTATACCTCACACACCCACAGTCCAGCCCACCCACACACACATGTCAACCCACACACACCCACAGTCCAGCCCACCCACACACACATGTCAACCCACACACACCCACAGTCCATCCCACCCACACACACATGTCAACCCACACACACCCACAGTCCAGCCCACCCACACACACATGTCAACCCACACACACCCACAGTACAGCCCACCCACACCCACATGTCATCCCACATGCTCCCACATGCCATCCCACACACACCCACATGCCATCCCACACACACCCACATGCCATCCCACCCACACACACATGTCATCCCTCACACACCCACAGTCCAGCCCACCCACACACACATGTCATCCCTCACACACCCACAGTCCAGCCCACCCACACACACATGCCATCCCACACACACCCACAGTCCAGCCCACCCACACCCACATAGTATACCTCACACACCCACAGTCCAGCCCACCCACACACACATGTCAACCCACACACACCCACAGTCCAGCCCACCCACACACACATGTCAACCCACACACACCCACAGTCCAGCCCACCCACACACACATGTCATCCCACACACACCCACAGTCCAGCCCACCCACACCCACATGTCATCCCACATGCTCCCACATGCCATCCCACACACACCCACATGCCATCCCACACACACCCACATGCCATCCCACCCACACACACATGTCATCCCTCACACACCCACAGTCCAGCCCACCCACACCCACATTTCATCCCACACCCACCCATAGTACAGCCCACCCACACCCACATGTCATCCCACATGCTCCCACATGCCATCCCACACACACCCACATGCCATCCCACACACACCCACATGCCATCCCACCCACACACACATGCCATCCCTCACACACCCACAGTCCAGCCCACCCACACACACATGCCATCCCACACACACCCACAGTCCAGCCCACCCACACCCACATAGTATACCTCACACACCCACAGTCTGTTGGTGCAACCCTACAGTTTGCACTCGGCTTGTTGTCCGTGTGTGTGAATGTGTGTGTGTATGGAATGGTATGAGGGCATGGGATAATATATATTTCATGCTTATAATTGTGTGTGAATGTTGAGTCATGATGTCGAGTGTGTGTGTCGAGTCAATAGCGAGTTATCGCTAGACGCGTGTTACGCGGTCGTTTGTGTCTCGCGCGCGGTTTCTATTTTGTCGTGCGCGGTTTCTATTTTGTCCTGTGTCGAACGTTCGGCGTGTCGCAGGTGTGTGCAGCAGACCCATCAAGAACTCAAGGATGAGTTTGTGATGAAGAGCCCGAGCCTTGGTGTCAAGCCTCAAGTGATTTCGAAGCTCGCCAAAAAGGGTACACCTCAAGATATTGAAGATAGTTACATTACTTTGTGTAGTGTAACATTTCACTTGGTGTAGGCCCTAGTGAAGGGTAGTTTCGAGACCCTTCGTGGTTGGGGACAGTGTGGCACTGTTCCACATCACTGTACCTCGGCTCTTGGGGTTTGTAGGAGCTGGGAGTCATTCCCAACTCGTAACTCTTCCTATCTTGTGTTCTAAGACTATAGTGGCTGCCATAGTACCGTTCGTTCAAACCGACGCTGTGTCGTCAATTCTTTATCAAATCGTGCAATCTAAA